ATTTTAGTAATATATTATTTTGTTTTATGCAGGCAGGCTTTATGAACATGTGTTAGGCGTTGACTTTTTATAAACAAAAGGCACGACAGCAACAAATTGCTAGCATATTGTTGGGGCAGGGCCAGGGCCGGGGACAGGGGCAGGCATTGCAAATTGTGTTTATGTGGCACATTTAACTAAACAAAAAGTTGCTCTTTGCGGGAACTTTTAATACAAATGCAACAAATTAATTAAAGCTGCCACAAAATGAATAACAAATAGTTTTGAAAATTTCACAGCTCTTGTTGCAGTTGCAGTTGCTGTTAAATAATGCATGCACCACTTTATCTAAAATTAAGATTGATTGAAGTATACAAGTTTTATGTGCCACTCTTTCCCAATTCCTATAAATGTTTAGCAATGTGTTTGACAGATTGCTGAGCAATTGAAATGGGATTTATTTAAACATGTTGAGGGGGCTGAAGGGACTTCAAATTGCCATCAAAGGCTGGCATTGTACACCAAATAGCTACACTATGTTAAGCTTTTAGCATGCATCAATTTGGAAGGCATTAAAACATTAGAACTAAATTTTTCTAAGAACTCACAATGCTATTTTTCTTGGCAGGCTTTCATGTGCGTTGAACTAAATGCTTAGTTACATAATAATATATATTATCTTTTACTTTTTTGTGTTAAAATAATGTTTAATTAAAAAAACAAGTTTCCTAGAACCTGATCGCAGCGCCATCTAACGGGCGCATACGCCAAATGCTTGAACCCGAATTTAAAATTTATTTTTTACTTTTTACCATTGTTCGAATCTTAAGTCAAGCCTCAAAAACAAGCGAAACAAAACCCTAATTTTCTACAAAAATTGCTATTTTTGAACGAATCAGCTCGGATGCAAATATTATGATCCCCTTATCAAAAATCTACACACATTTAATTGCTGCCAGTTTTGGGTAAAGATAAAATAAGCTTTGCTTGTATATGAAATGTTCAAATTGTTTCAAGAATATTTAGGAAATGTATAAAAAAAAAGACAAGATATAATCTAAAGCCTGGGATCAGGAATCTGGAAGAGCAGTTTCACGAGCCGAGCCTATAGGCGGGAAGCTGGTTCAAACCCTTAGCCGAGCAACTGACAATTTCATTTGCATTTGCAGCCCTGTTTATAAAAGCTTGGCTTCTCTAAAATACTCAGCTTGCGTTCAACCAAAGTTGATCTTTTTCTTATCACGCGTTTCTTTTCGAAACTTCTGCTAAAATCATTCGAAAATTGAATTCTCGACGAATAAATAGGGAGAAATTCAGCTTGGACTGTTTTTGCAGTTGCCTTCCGGTGGCTGCCACAAGCAGGTGGTGGAGTGGGGGGCAGGTCGATCTGACGCATAAATATGCATATGCTCCACAAACATTTGCCAAGTTGCCCCCACCCAACCCCTTTCCGCACCACCCCCACATAGAAGTTCAGCCGAAATTCATGCGAAAGCTGCTGACATTTGGAAATAAATGCAGCGTCAGGGAAATATTTCGCATGCATACAAATCGCGACGCGGCGCGTTGCCTTGTGATAAATATACAAATTCCCGCGCTGCTGCCACAGTTAGACAACGTTTAATTGAGTCAACAGGCGGGACAGGAGGAGGAGCAGGAGGTGGAGGTGTGTGTGTGTGTGTGTGTGTGAGTGGAGGAGGAGTCATCAAATTAACGCTGGCAACGGGCACAGCTCGCAAGGAGAACGCGAGCACATTAAAAACTAATTTATGGATTTGCGAAAAGCCAAACTTGCGATGATTTATGCAAGCAAACCAGCCAAAACCCAAATCCCAGACCCTTAGACCCAACCCAAGCCCCACTACTTACAGCACTTGGGTGTCCTGCGGCAGCTCTGGCAACACTTTGAGTCGGGCGCGAATGCAGCGCACGGTGCGCGCGAGGCACGTGCAGCCGGCGGGACAGTGCACCCACTGGCCGGCTGTCAGCTGTAGAAAGCTGGCCAGGCACAGGCAGAGCACAGCCAGCGGCCAGAGCGAGTGCATCATGCTGATCAACCGAGCTGCTTGGAGTGTAACTCAAAACTGTCGTCGGGCAGGCAATTAAAATTGCCGCAGCGATAAAAACGGAACAGGCGGAAGTGGAGGCAGCGTCTAGTTGCACGATACAGAAGCCACTTAATTCTGGTCACTTATCTGGACGCGGACTAGCTCCAGTCGCACTCTCAGTTTCGTACGATAAGTCTGCGCTCGTATCGCAAATATAGTTACACTATATTTATCAATTTTTTTTTCGGAAACTTGATTTGAATTTTTTGAATATTTCCGTTAAAAGTAGAACGTTAAAACGCGCGCCTTGCAACTGCACGCGCCAAATGCCGACGAGCATCTGAAACGGACAACTGAACCGATTCCGTTTTGCCAGAACCGAAACCGTTACCGAACCGAGCAGCTGGCAGAGGCAGCGACAGCGGCAGAGGCAGCAGCAGCAGCAGCAGCCATGGCCGAGCAGCTGCAGCCGAGCCCGATTTCTGGCAGCAGCTGCCGCCGTCGCCGTCGCCGCCGCCGGATGCAGTTTGTGATAACATTTTCCTGAGGCGCATAGCTCAAGAGTCTTTTGATTTGCTCATGTGATTCCAGGGTGTGCGTGTGTGTGCGTGTGTGTGCGTGTGTGTGTGTTGTTTATGCGCTCCAAATAAGCTGATATGTAACTAAACACGTTTAACGGAGCTTTAGTCAAGGCCAACAGAAGCACTCGGATTGGAATCCTACGCGCAAAGCGATTAGAAACGGGGCAGCGCGATGGCCACTCGAGTTTTTTTCCAAATGTGCTAATCGGGAGTGCCAGACTGGGAGATGCCCTGTAGCCAGCCTCAAGAGGCCGCAACATCAATTCACGATTCTTTCTATGCATACATGTACAAAAAACACACATACACACAAGCTCGCAGCTTGGTTATGCATCTTCTTCCTTCAGCTATACCCTGTAGAAGATGCAGTCTTGTATAACTTTGCTGTTTTAAGTCCGATTCCTAAGAAATTTTCAGGGCCCAAATATAGCACCCAACTGTATATAAATACCAAAGCACAAGGCTCTACCTCCAAATATAGAATATTATCAATTTTGAGGGGTAGCGCTGGAAGATATCCAAAGAGTGGAATATTCTTAAGCTGTGTAATCTATACAATCACCTGCATACCAAGTTTGGTGTATCTAGCTCTTATAATCCTCGAGTTGTGCTTCAAAAACCAAATCTCAAAATCGATACTTATCGATATTATGAAAAGGTGAGCAGATGTTGAAGAAAAAATAAGAAACTTGTTTATTGTTGCTAGCATACGAGAATATAAACTTCAAATTCCATGTATCCAGCTTTTATAGGTTCAGAGATCGCCGCGTTTCAGCAACATATGTATATACTTTATGGGGTTGTATAAGTTTACAAACACATACTTAAAAAACATGATGCTCTTCTTAGCCTTTTTTTCCATGCGCTTAGGGTATAGCAACGCATCAAACATGCAACCAATATAGTAAAAAGTGCTTGTTGCTGCTGGACTAAAAGCTACCCTGTAACACAACATGAGCATAGCCAGACTATAAACGTTTTTATTGACGGTAAGAAATTTCAAGAAATATTTGCTTGCTTTAAGAAAACTCTATCACAACTTGTGCATTAAATGTAAGATAACTAGCTAGCTATTATACCCCAAACCGCTTTTTAAAGGGCATACAAAATGAAGCATACGCCGCGTTGAACTTCAGAGTTGCAGCCCATAAAATGTTTTGCGCTGCTCATTTTTAATGCAACGCTGAGAGTAGCACAAAAGTTGAGAAAGGGAGACAGAGAGAGAGAGGGAGAGAGAGGGAGAGGGAGAAGGAGAGCATACTGTGTGCACATTTGTGTGCACTCCATTTGGGCCTGTCGAACTTGTCGCTTTGGTGATAAGACGCGGAACCAAATTTAAAAGCTATCAATTTGATATTAGTTGAGGGAACAGCGCGTTGTGGGAACGCTTGCGAGATTTAAGCGCGTGCCAGGATGCAGCTGCAGATCCTTTACAGTTGTTGTTCTTATGCATATTTGTTGTTCTTCTTGTTGCTGTTGTTGTTGTTGTTGTTGGCAACATATGAGCCCCCCAGCATGAAATTCTCTAGTCTTCGTTTTCAATTTTTTTTACTGCTGCTTGCCGTTAAAGTTTTGAAATCAATTTACAGATGATTTATTATGTTGCGCGGCTGTGCGGGGTAAGGGGTGGGAGTCCTGCTGCCATTGCTGCATGCGACAACAGCGGACGTTGATGAATGCCGCCGTGTATTGTTGGGCTGTCAGTTTTGATCAAAATTCGTTTCGGGGCATCGAATTGCAGGTGAAGTGGAAAATTTGCAAGTTATGCGACAGCTTCATGTGCCCCCTTTTTTTTGCTCTGCTGTTGGCGGCACAGGCAGCAGATAGCGCGTCGGTGATTTGGCAGCGGAATTCAGTAAATTGACTGCACGGCAATGCGGGAGCTGCTGTGGGAATTGCTGCAGCTGACTGACTGCAGATAGAAAGCAATTGTGGGGCAAAAAGTGCCTTGTGCAAAGTTCGAATCAAATACCATAAAATTCAGCTTTAAATATTAAATTACAAGAATACCTAAATACATATAGGAGCAATTCAGACCTAACATTTCATGCAATGCCAAAATGTATAATTCACACAATTTGGCTGCTATTTAAAAGACCCAACGACGCAAAGAAATCATAGCATTCAAAAAGTAACTGCTAGTTCATGATGTCGCTCATTCACAATAGCAGCCCTTCAAATTTGTTTGGCGCCACCATTAAATCAAATATGGCGCTCATGCGCAGTGCAGAAACATCGTCTTAGGAACAGCTGATTGTCAATGCTGTTATCGATAGTACACAAAACGATAAGTAATATATTGAAGCATGAATATGAGTAAGATTTTTAACAGAAATCTGGCAAATATAAAGAAAATTAAAGCAATATACTTGAACGGAAATAATAAGTGCACGAAATTAAGTTTTTGCCTTTTTTTGGAACAATTTAATACTGATGAAAGCGCGTTTTGCAACACTGCAGCAACAGCGGTCGACACTGACAATTGAACGGCGGCAATCAAAATAGAAAGAAAAACCAACTGGAAAGCATTAAAGAAGCAGGATTTTCTATACGTATGTGTTCTTTGCTATGTCCAAGCGCAACAATATAACCTACGTGAAGCCACAGGAACCCAGTTTTTTGGCCAAACTCAAGGCGGAAATCGGCTACAAGGAGGGCCCCACCGTCGATACAAAGGTAAGCTATTGCCGCTGCCGTTGTCGTTGAGCCAAAACAAAGTGCCTCGCTCATGCTCAGCTTTGTTGCAAATAAAAACAGCGCCAGAAAGTCGAGGAACGCGACCAGAACCAGGACGACTACGATTCCAGTGAGGAGCGGCCCGAGCGTGAGGACGAAAAGCCACAGATTGTGGTCCTAACGAGTGGGGATCTTACGGCTGACGAGGTGGCCCTCGAGCAGCAGCGCATAGCGAAAGGTATGCACACACACACACACAAACGTACACGTGCTGTGTACTTGTATGTGTATATATTTTGTGAGTGTGCATTTGTATGTGTGTATGCGTGTCGGTGTGTGCGTAGGTAGGATGTAGTTATCGTCTGTGGCAGTTTGGCTTTCAGTTCAGTTGAGTCAGAATCGAGCGTCGGTCGCGCGGTCGCTTCCACGCTTCTTTCACGCTGCCACTTTCTGCCCTATACTACACTGTGTATGTACATACATATATATATATATCTGTTCGTGTGTGTGTGTGTCTGTCTGTCTGTGTTTGTTTCTTTGCGCGCGTGTGTTTGTGTGTTTTTGCAATTGAAATTTTGAAAATTTATATGAAACATAAACAAAATGCAAACGAAATACGCAAAAGTGCAGCTAACCGTACGACAAATAACGCCGCGCTCTATATTTTAAAATTTTGCGGGCATTTCGAAGTGCTTGAAATTTTTTTTCAACTCGCTTTTCGATTTCTGTTTGTGGTGTGTGCAAAAATTATTGTTGCATTTTCCAACAATGCGCTCGTCTTTTGTTTTTGCTCAATGAAAAATTCTTTTTCATGCCCAACTTCAATTCTAACCTCGAAAATGTGTCTTATTTGTGGGCGGGGGGAAGGGGAAGTTTTAAGTTCTGTGTGCCACGCCCGCAACGCAACACACCGCCCACTGGCGTCTCTATGGCAGCAGTTCCAAGTCCCGTTCCAAACGCCCTTTCCTTTGGCTTCGATTATTGCAATTAGTGTGGCACTGCCAGCGGAGCACCCTCATGCACACTAATACACAGGCCAGCACACACACACACGCGCACACATACATATACAGCTGGCGTAAAGCATACACACTGACATTTTCATTGGGGCTCCGCTAAAGCGGAGCATATGATGAAAATCATAGCCAAAGCGGAGCACACGATAAAGCAGCCGGCCAGAGAAGTTAACAAATAACGGCGACCCACAGCCGCCGTCGCCGTCGCTGCCATCGCAAAGCCAACAACAGCTGCCGCTCTGTTGCTGTTGCCGTCGCCATCGTCGTCATCAACCCGCCGCCACCGCTGCCGCTGCTGCTGTTGTTGCTGTTGCTGCTGTCAGAAGGCCCGCGCAGAAAATCGGGTGAAAACGTGCGAAAGAATGAACGAAGCAGCAAAACGGGAGAGACAATGATGAACGAAACAGGCGAACAAAAAGAGCACGGCAAGTGGCTTGACGACGATATACATATGTATGTGTGGATGTATGTGTATGGTCGAAAGGGGGCAGCGTGGTGTGCGGCGGCGGCGGCTGCGGCAGCGGCAGCGGTAGCCACTGTCTTCTGTCTGTCCGATGGAGCACTGCAAAGCGTTAAGCTGAGGGGATGAGCAGCTGTGGGAGGGGATGGTGCGGTGGTCGGGACGTTGCGTTGCAAAACTAGGAAAACGCTTGCAACGGGCGAGACATAAGTAAAATCTTTGCTATCTCATTTGTGGGCGGGCGCTGGCGGAATAGGGCGTGTTTGCTCTTGCTGTTGTTGTTGTTGTTGTTGTTGCATGTGGGGGCGGTTACAGCCAGGAGTTGGGCACTTGCAGCAGCTGCCCGTGTGGCACAGTTATGTGTGTTGAAAGAGTTTTATGCTATTTTATGGGCTTTTATTTTGTTTTTTTGCTAATGACCAATTACTCGCATTGCAGAAGAAGCTGAAAGGCCCGCGGATTTAAACCAACCCATTGTATTTAAGCAGCGCGTCAAGCAGCCCAAAATCCAGCCGGAGAATAAAACTGAGAAATCTCCGAAAGCAAAGGATAAACGCAAAAAGTCCAAGCCAAGCAGCAAACTGTCATTCAACGAGGACGAGGAGGACGCCGAAGCAGTCGAGGATTAAAGCTCATAAAGTATCTATTATCCGTCAATTCGATTTGCCGTATCTTCAACCGGGCAGCCTCTTTGTATGGTTGTCCCCAGTGAATGGTTAGGTGAGCGCTTAAATCTTGCACACACACACACAAACACACATACACTCGTACACACATACATGCATACAAGCACATACATACACATATATTCATATAAAAAAACTAAACTGCGCACTTAAAATTTGCCTATAAAATACGTTACACATACATACATATATATATATATGTAAGTATTACGTGCGTGTACTTCATACATATATATGTCTGTGTGTGTGTGTGTGTGTGTGTGTGTGTACATGTACATGTAGTTGCATATGTGTATGTAAATGTATATGCATATGTAATGTATTGATTAACGTGGTTAAGTTGTTTTCTATAAACTCTTTATTGGGATTTTTAACTCTTTTGATATAATTTAAACATATTTTTTTTATCAAATAATTATTTGAACTTGCTAATTGAACTAATTAAAACTCTAATTTTGAAATTGGAGTGAAAACTAACTAACGTAACGGTACAATAATTGAACTTGAAAATGTAACTAGAAACAATCGAATAATCCAATTAGCACACTTTAAACAGTTATCAGTTTTTATGAGCAACAACTTGCGATGAGTCCAATCTATGTTTATTGTATTTATGTTTCAAAACATCTAAGCTCGGTTCCAGTTTTCAAGAAGATCTTAAGCTTAGATTGGGCTTTTCCAACACTGAATTAACTCCAAATCTAAACTTCCTCATCATACGCTAAAAAATTGCAAAACACATAAATTCATCATCTTTTTCTGCGAAATATGATACGGCCTGCAAATATAGAAGCAAATATATTTACATATATGCATTCAAGTACCTTCATAATACACACATATATGACATATAATACATATATTCATCAAACATATGTATGCCATATTTACATAAAGTTGTATTTCACACAAATCGCATCCTTGAAGATAGTTTCGAATTGTTGCAATACTTGAATATCTTTTATAAAATGTCATAAATGTGATAACTTTTGATAAAGTGCAGTTAACGTTTTAGCCACATATTTTGAAACTAGGCCTCATAATAACATATACAATTAAATTGGAATACAAGTTCTTGATTCCTGGCCGATTCGATTAGTCCTTTGTTCGATTACACAAATTGTAATTGGGATAATTCGCCCAACTTTCTTTCTGCCAAGAGAAATTACAACATGATGTACATACATACATACATACATATATATTTATTTAAATGTCGTGTTCTTATAATGTTACAGCATAAGGTTATTGCTATAAAGGTCATAGACAGGGACTCTTTAAATGTTATCAACTAACTTTATGACTTTGACCTTCAGCTGGGACATTTAGATACCTCTCAGATTTGAACCTCGTTCTCGTAATTCAGTTTTCCTACTTTCTTCCCGCCTCTGGCCTAAAGAAATATATCGTGAAAAGTTAGTCCCTCAAAGTCCTAGTCCTTTGGATAAAAGAAGCACGTCCTTTATATAGTCCAATATATAGAATAGTTTTTATATACAAATGTAATTGCAATGCTTGCTTTTCAATTGTAAATGTCCTTTACAAAATCTGTTGACAATTAGCTAAAATATCTGCAAGGTTCTTTTCTCAGAAATTGTATCTAAAATTCGCTTGACAACCGGCGACACACACACACACTCACACACACACACACAGAGAAGAGAAAAGGTCACGTGTATGTATAACATAAAGTTTTGTTATCGTTTCATAATATATACATACATACATATGTATATATGTACATATGTATGTATTATTATACCGATAGTTGGTGGTTCTTAATGAATCCCGTGCGGCGGTAGGCGAATGCCAACTTCTACCAGTTGCTGATCAACGGGGGTGAGAAGCGGGTTACTTTCAAAATTGTACTTGCATATAGACCAAATCAGACCCACACACATAGATATATACGCATGCATACATACATAGGCACGCACACATGCATGCAAACATCGCATTCAGCTTACATACGTTCATACACATAGACATACTTATATAAGTATACATACATATGTATGTTTGTATGGATGTGTACGTATTATATTGGCCCATAGCATGCGAGAGCGATAGAGAGAGTGGGTGAGAGCGAGAGAGCAGTAACGTAATCTGAAATAAGTTGGGAAAGAAGAAGAAGCATCAGCAGCGCCAGCAGAAGTATCGTGATGAGTATACAGTTTTAAAACTTACAGACGGGGCAATCGCCGCTTTGCCTATGCTTACACTTCATATATGTATACATGTGTGTGTGTGTGTGTGTGTGTGTGTTTGTCAGTTTGGAGAAGCGCTCAATGTTGGCCTGGTTTAGAGTTGTAACTAATCATTGCCAGTAATAAGCAGCATTATCAAAAGATTGTTATCCGGTTGCGCGCGCTATTTTCAAATTTTTGCGCGTCGCAGATACCCATGCAAAAAAAAATCCATCAAACACGCCGGCAACTGCGTCGACATATACGTAAAACGACAACACAGGCACCAATGCCGTTTCATTTTTGTTTTGTTCATTTCGTTCGTACGCGCGGTACAATTGTCAAATTTGTTTTTCCCTCCCATCCATCCATTCACATGGGCGCGCTCCAATACTACGGCAGTAACGAACACACACGCACCCATACACTTATCGCAGTGACAACGATTCGCTTGCGCTTCACATTGCCATTCGCTATTTTTGAGCGTAACACCTCTGACCAGTTCTCTCTGGTCGCTCTCTTGAAGCGCCACATGCACGTTGCCAAAATTGGCGCCTCGTCGATAAAAATTGACTTGTAGATCTTTGTGTGTTGCCAGTGATATGAAAGGTGTACACTTTATTTGTAGTTTTATATCATTGATTTACAGCTGCACCAGTTGCAATATGCCATAAATACTAATTGCCATTTAATCGATTGTTCGATAAATTTGGCGCGCGCCGTTTTTCGGGTACACATGCAACCCTGCTTGCCGGGCTGCCGCCCATGCAACTCTGTGTTTGTAGCGACGTTTTTCGCTTTTTTCCGCTTCCATTTCCAGTTTGCCTTGTTGTTGCCCCCGTCTATCGTCCGTTTGTCGCGCTTTAGCATAGCGTTCTTTTTTTTCGCTTTCTGTATGTGTGTGTGCGCTCCAGAATCAAGAAAAAAATTGTTGTGCGTTCGGCAAAAAAGATCCTTTATTTTTTTTGTATTTGTTTATCATACTGATTATCGTTTTTAATTGCCACAATAACAACAACCTGCCACTGCCATTAAAGTGTGACGTAAAATGTAAATTGTAAGTTTGTGTGATTCTCTATATGTTTGAATTGTGTGTTTGTTATTGTGTTTGAAGCGCGGCTGTTGTGCAAAAATTAAGGAATTTGGAAATGCCTATTTGCAACTTGTCTAAAAAATATTGTTCACACCATAAAGACACTAATACGCTCACGCATACACCAACACAGCGACATACTCGCACTCACACACACACACACGTACACAAGCGCAAAACACGCTCCTGTACCCACCCGTACTCCACTCCACGCCGCCGCCAGCTACAGCCACAGCAGCAGCAGCAGCGAGCCACAGCCAACCAACAACCAACACCGCAGAACCAAAGCCAACGTCGTCGTCGTCATCGTCGTCGTCGCCGCCGTCGTCGTCTCACCGGCCGTCTGTCCGTTCGTTTGTCTGTTTGTCCGTCCCAGCGTCTGCGTGTCCGTTTGTATCTACATACATACATATATAATTATATATGTATGTGCATGTGCTTGCATGTATGTGTGTGTGTTGTGTGTGTGTTTGTATGTATATATATAGATTGTACATGCATGTTGTGTGTGTGTGTGCTCGTTTTGTTGGTGCGCTTTGTATGTATGTAGGTGTGTGTTGTCTGTTTGTATGTCAATCGTGCAGTTGCTGTGTGCTCGGTAACTGCTCGTCTGTATGTATGTAACAATATATATGTACAAATATATATTTATATATATATGTATAAACATTTATGTATATATATATGCAAGTATATATGTTTGTTTATGCAACACAGTATATATTTACATACTATATGGCTATGTACATATATAAATACATTGTAACAAGCCTTGCAGAATTACGTTTTTATGTTATTACATACATACATATGTACATAATTACATACATACTTAGATGGTATACATAACTGCCAGCAATAAAACACTCGTACAATTATGTACATCTGTCGATATTCATAAATATATATATATTTATTTACATACATACATTTTAAATTGTATTTTAGTTTTAATCCAATATGGCAGCCATTTTGTCTCAATTAACTCTTTTTTGGTTTTTGCTGCCCCTTTGTTTGGTGGAGGGGGGGGGGGGGGTGGTGGTGTTGGCAGGTGGAGCCTAGAGGGAGGGCGGGTTTAATTCACCTAGATTTCAATTTTCTTTGCTTTATAGTTGTTTTTTTTTTTTGTATTTTTGGCAATTGTTGTTTTTTGTGCTCTATTTGATTAATTTTCTGCAAGTTTGCGCATTTTTTCCAATTCTTCTTTGGCCTGCTCTTTCGTTGATATTTACGCTTTGTTTTCCTTTCCTATGTGCCCAATATTTCCCAGTTAACTTTGGATAAAGCTGTAAAGCTTATGAAACTTATCGATTTACAAGGAAGTGAGGAAATTAATCAAAAGTTGTTTATCGATCTCCTATTTGGCAGGCATCCTCGAGAACAGCAGCGACATTTATCGACCAAGAGGCACATTCCAAAAACAACAGAACAAAGCAACAACAAATGACTGAAGTCGACGTCGTCTTGCCGGAGGGCGTTGCCGAGCCCACAACCAAACTACTTGCCAAAGCAGCAGCAGCAGCAGCGAGGACGGCAGCAAACGAAGACGACGACGACAACAGCAGCAGCAGCGCAGCAGAGCCGCAAAATGAACAGAAGACCAACTCCAACACAGACTTGGAGCAGAAGGAGGAGGAGCAGCAGCAGCAGAAGCTAAAGCCCGTCAAGGATAAGGAAGTGGATGCAGTGATAGCCTCCGACAAGCTGCTCTTGGATGGCAATAGTAACAGCAACAGCACCAGCAACGATGATAGCAAGCTTGATGGCGATGCTGCATCTAAGCCGGCGGTTGAGTCCATGGACGTGGATGACACCGAGGAGGGCGACTCACAGATAACCAGCTCCAGTTCCACAGAGAACGGCAATAGCAAAGAGCCAAAGCTGGATGGCGAGATCGATGAAGACGAAGATGCGGAGGAGGAGGAGGAGGAAGAGGTGACCACCAATGGTGATCATGAGGAAGCTGACGATGAAAAGATTGGCAGCACTGCCGAAAACAGTTGCGACGCCGAAGATCCGCTTGGCGCAGCCACAGAGCCCGCAGCGGAGCAAGAGGAAGAATTGGTGGACGAGAAGAAAAGCCTTGAAGATGCAGACGATCTGGAAGAGGAGGAGGAGGCGGAGGCCGAAGAGGAGGGTAGCCAGCAAAGCGGCACAGCCAAAACAGTAACCGACTCGGAAGCAGAAGCTATGCACACCGAGGAGGATGAAGTGGACGAGAAGAAAGAGATCCCACTAAATGGCTTCACGCAAAGCCCAAAGGGTAAGGAAGCTGCTGCTGCTGCCAAGCCCAACGGACAGGCAACCGCAGCTGAAACTCGGAAAAGCAATGACAACAACGACGAAGATGACGCCGGCGGCGTGGTTAATCTGGACGAGGACAGTGATGAGGAAATGGCCGATTTGACTGAGCGAAAGGCGCCTCCAGCCTCGGCGGCCAAGCCACGAACAACGCCCAGCAAGGCAAAAGCCACGCCAGCAGCAGCGGTTGCCTCAAGCGGCGCCGAATCCTCAGACGATGCGGTGCTCATTGCCTCCGATTCGGAGTCGGAAACGGGACAAACAGCAGCGCTGCCACCGCCAAGTAAGAAATTGGCGCCCGCCGTGAAGGCAACACCAGCACCGCCACCGCCGCCAACAGCAGCCGAGCAGGACGACGACGATGACGATGATGACTGTGTGGTCATTGAGGATGATACACCGCCAAGTATTTCGCCTAGCGATCAGGCACTGAACAAGCGCAAAAGCGAACTGGACGACATGCAGCCGAACAGCAAGCGACAGCGCAGCTCCACGCCCTCCACTCTGGGTGCAGGTGTCGGGATCGGCCTTGGCCAGTTGACCATCAAGGATGCGCGCACCCTAATGCCGCACGAAGCGGGGCCAACGGGACCAGGCGGCTCGGCTGTTTATCCGGTGACCATAACCAATGCCGTAACCGGCGTGGCCACAAATCTGGGCAATACGCCGCCCAAACTTGTGCCCATGGCAGGTGTGGCCGGTGTGGGTGGTACAGTGCAGCTGACACCATCGACGCTCTCGCTGACTGCCGCCGGACTGCCCAGCATGACGAATAACGCGAATCTGTTGCCAGGCCTAACGGACGACATGTTTGTGCTGGAGGCGCCCTCGTTTATTGTGCCCTACATATACGAGAAGCCGCCCAATGACAACATACGCGAGGTCATCAAGGCGATTGAGACAAAGTATGCGCTTTCGCCGGAGGATTTGGCTGTGGCGGACAAAGTGGACGAGTTCGATATGATGACCGAGCAGAACAAGGAGGACAAAAGCAGCGCAGACGGCCCGAATGCGGGCAAAAAGAAAAAGAAGCAGGGCGACGATGAGTCCTGGTCCGAGCAATCCGATGAGGATGACGACGAGGACGATGACGATGACTCCGAGACGGGTGTGCGCACCAAGGTGCTAATCAAAGAGGCCAACGATGATCTGACCGCACTCAAGGGTGCCATTAAACCCGCCGCTGCTTTGGCCGCCTCCGGCGGTGTCGCGTCCAACACCGCCGCTAAGCCCGGTCAGGAGAACTACTTTGAGAGTCCGTTGGGTAAATTCTTTATGGACATTGGTGTTGGCCTCGTGCAGGAGTATGTCCAGGCGGATTTGTTGCGCCTGCAGAAGCGCAAGATGCGCAAATCCCTGTCGCGAGATCCCAAGGACTTTGAGATGGCCATCAATGCGTTGAGCGGTAATCTGCAGGCGTCGAAGACGAAAAATGCACCCTTTAAGTTCACGATGAAGCGCTGCGAGTTCTGCAATTTCAAATCCGAGTCCGCGCTGTCCATGGCCAATCACTATGAGACGCCGCACATGAACGGAGTCCTGTACAAGTGCAATTTTTGCACATTCGAGATACGCAACGCCACAGAAATCGTTTACCACATGGAGGCGGTGCACAATATCAAGGCGCGCCTGATCAAGCCGCTGCCGTATCATCAGTGCCCGAACTGCGGCTTTGAGGATAATGGCAAGGCGAAATTGGCCCGCCATCAGCCTGTCTGCGCCAAGAAGTTCCGGCCGGAGCTGAATCTGGCGCCGCCCAACGATTGGGAAGCGCCCGCCAAAATACCGCGCATCAAGCCGCGACACGGACTCGTCGGCACAGCCACCGCCTATCAGGTAAGCTACATAATATAATAAATTCCGTCAGATGACAAACACTTAACATTTCATTGATCTCTTTCCAGGCGATGGCAGCGCAGGCGGCGGCGCAGAAGGCAGCACTGGCGACCATACAACAGCAACAGGCCGCGGCACAGGCACGCAACCTGCAGGCGGCAGCGCTTGCGGCACAAAATGCGGCGAAGATGCGACAGCGAGCACCGCAGATGCCCAAGGCAATGCCCAATGCCAACAGCATGGTGAGGAATCCTGCGCCCGTACGCGGTGCCATCGGCGCCGGCAATGCGGCTCTCTCGCTGCCGAACAGCTATCAACTGGCCGCCGGACAGCTTGTGCAGGTTAGTTTGTGAAATCAGTTTAAGAATTATTTCACATATCTAACGACACGCATGTTTTCCCAAATTGCAGCAAGCATCCAAGAAGCCAATTGCGGGTCAGCCGAGCATCTCAATAACGCCACTACCTCGACAAAGTGCCGCTGGCAACAATGCGTCCGCTGCCTCGTCCAGCAAAGTGCAAACGACGGCGGCGGCGGGCATGAAGCCCGGCCAGAGCCCCAGCGGCGGCAACAACAAGGCGCAGTTTGTCATCTGCGAGATATGCGATGGCTATATCAAGGATCTAGAGCAGCTGCGCAATCACATGCAGTGGATGCACAAAGTGAAGGTACAGTTGGGAGCTTGCAAAATTGCCAGAAATTTTCTTAACTTTTGCTTATTTTTGCAGATCCATCCCAAGATGATCTACAATCGTCCACCATTGAATTGCCAGAAGTGCCAGTTCCGCTTCTTCACGGATCAGGGCCTGGAAAGGCATTTGCTGGGCTCCCACGGCCTGGTCACCAGCTCTATGCAGGAGGCGGCCAACAAGGGCAAAGATGCCGGTCGTTGTCCTGTCTGTGGCAGGGTAGGTTTTGTAAATAATTCTATATATTTAAAGACTCATTTTTTAAACGAAATTGCAATTGATTTGTAGATGTACCAATGGAAGCTACTGAATCACGTATCGCGCGATCATCATATGACCCTGAAGCCCGCACATTTATCCTACAAGTGCACCGTCTGCACGGCCACCTTTGGCATGTACAAACAGTTTGAGACGCATGTGTATACTGCGCACAGCACTGTGGCCAGAAAGGCAATGGATAGCAAGAAAAATAGCGCACAGTCCAGCGGCGGCGGCAGTGGTGGAGCGGGCGGTGGTGGTGGCGGCGGCGGCGCAGGCATGACGCGTAATTCATTGGGCGCCGCCAATGAATCCCTGCTGAAGCCGCTGAAGATCAACGATGAGATCACGATCATACCACAGCCCGCATCGAAGCCACGCATCACAAATATGGAGAGTCATGTCATAGGCAAGTCGAAGACGAAGCGAACCACCAAAAATACCAGCTAAATAAATACCCTATTTGCAGATTAAACGGCGCATTGGATGAACCAAAAAAACAAAACAAAAGAAATGAATTAACAGAAAAAAAAAAACAAACCTAATCTCGCATAGATTTTGCTGCAGCATTTTGGCCGCTGGCGCGTTAAGATTAGTTTTTATTTGATTTTAAGGCTGCGCCGAGGCGATCGTCTAAAAAAATATATATCTATGATTTGTTAGTAAGCCAGAACTGTATAAAGCGAGCGTAAAGGGAATTTTAGTAAAACCACAAAGCAACCTAAACCTAAATATACGTCGATCATTAAGAGAAAAAGTTACCGCTTAACAGACACAGATACACACCCACACACTTATGATTAATCAGATACACACACACATTAACGGATATAGATACAGATTTCAGATTCTAGTTACGGTTTAGTTGATATATATATGTACGTTGGAGTGTGCACATAAGTTGAAATTGTAGCTACTACTAATAAACACAATTACCATACCATGCATAATTTACACACACACACACATACATATAAGCACACACCCACACACATATACATATATATATATTTTAAAAGAAGCCGCTAGAGCGCATCGTCTACATGACTATGTAAATTAGTTAAAAACTAAATATTATTTATATTATATACGAATACAAGTATCTAAATGTGCGTTGCAGTATGTACATATTAATACACACACACACACACGAACACCAACAAGACGCCATGGCTAATCGAATTTGATATCGATATACGTGGCTATCGCTTATCGATGAGTCGTGCGTAAAGTTGTCAAGCGCCATGCTTATGGCATGCAGCATGTGAGGTATAGTGGGAGGGCGGGGGCGGGTTATAGCTCCCAAGGTTTTTGCGGGTGCGGGAGGGGGACAATCGATATTTGCGATTCGGGGTGGGTTCTCTTATCTGATCTGAGACGTTCAACAATTTTATTTTGCGTGTACAAGTTTAAACTTATATTTATATATATATATAACATTATATCTATTAATATAAAATATATCATCTACTAGTGCGTAAGAAACCATGTACTACAGTTAAAAAAAAAACAACAACTAAAACAACACAAACAACAAACAAACCAACAAATGAAAATGAGAAAAATTAAAAACTAGTTAATATAAAATCGAACAAGATCTTTATTATATAAAATCAATAGATCTCGAAACTTGGCTAACTATTTTAAGGCATATTTATCTGACCCATCTAAGGACTGTACATAGCCAACTTTTTTTTGTTAAGCATTTATTATGGTTTGTTTGATTAATATAGAAAAATATCTGTATATTGAGCTATCCAGCAAAAGTTTACCAAAACCTTTGCTATATCATAAAAAATGTCGACTTCAATGTTTGTATCGCATCAAATTTGTACGTTAAACAAGAGTTCTTTCCCGCCGGAAGTGCACGACTAGGAGATATACTGAAGCTTCTTCCAACACTTCGCGCTACGAAAGATCCGAGATGTGTAACGTTATATAGAAGCTACATGTCAAATATGTTGACTCTAGAACTTAAAACCTTAAAGATTTGCTCGAAAAACAGATTTTTGTTATCGATTCTAATCGATTTTTGGAAATGTGGCAAGCTATCGATTATCGGAAACAAACTAGGAGGACCGACTTTCAAAATTGCAGTCTATAGCTCTCTCATAGGTTCGGAGAGCGACGCCTTCATTTATGCAGACACTGACATAGCTAGATCGAGTCGGCTATTGATGCTGATCAAGAAGATATACACTTAATGGGCTCGGAGATGCTTCCTTCTGTATATCGTATATCAGATTTTATTCAAACTAGCATTTTGTACGAAGCCGGCGTATAAGTATTATAAATGTGTCTGTTTGTGTGTGTGTGCGTATGGGCGTGTGTATGTTTTAGTGTATGTATGCATTTATGTATACATGTATGTATGTATGCATTTATGTATACATATATGTATGTATGCATGACCAAGCTTATTTTTCGCAGTGCTGCAAATTTAATTGAAACGAATTTTCTACGAAGTGCTCTACTCCTCGATTCTCAAGAATTCAAGTAAGCTCTGGAGTTTTTCATGCTTAGCTAGTAGAGTAGTGATTTTTTTGCCACAGATGCCGCATCCTACTTTGGTTCTATGCAGAAATGAACCCGAAGAAATTTGTTTCAACCTACCTTCATGTTGTAGACATACATCCAGCAGTTTCGAGGCCCAGGAATCGCCAATTTTTAGTTTAAAAATATGGTTTACCATGGGGCATAAAATCAATCTCAGGGGTTGCCTGGGAGCAATTGTTTTTTGTTTGCTTAACTGATATTAGTTGTTGATGTGGACTGTGAATCAAATTATAAAAATAATGCAATAGTTGAATATTTTTGTTCAGTCTGTATTTAATTATAGCATATATTAAGCATTTATTGCACAAGAATGCGAAAAATGAATTTGGCCTCAAAACTGGTCAATTATTATTGAGAGTGTAAAAAAACAACAACAACAACAACAAAAACATTTGTATAGTATATAATCTTCCAGTTTTCCGAGTTGTTCTAGACCGGAAAGAAAGTTAATGCGCCATGCTCATGGCTTTCATACAGGTAAACATGTGTTTAGCTATTTATATATATGAAATATGCAAGTTTTTTTTTTTTTTTAATCATTCGAGGGCAGGTGAGAAGTGGATGGAAAGCTTTTAGCAGTTCCCGAGTCACATGAGCTATCCATGCATAAAGGTAAAGTAACACCATTTTTTGACTTGGCACTTATGCGATTTTTTTTTTGATTTTTTTATTATTTTATTTTAAGTTTACAAATACAAAAAGTGATTTTGACTATGGCAAAGTCAAGGTATTTTTTTTAGGGGGGTTTTCTACTTGTTCTATGTATGCCTAACGAACTCGTCCTCTTACAGTCTTTTCTAACACTGTCGCTACTTAACACTTATTGGCTATGGTTAAAGGTACTTATTACGATATGATATGATGTGAAGCACAACGCACTGCATTACGTTTATCAGGGTATCAGAGAATTTGAGTCTAGCTTCCATTTAGTTCTCAGCGTCCACCTCGTTGGAGGCGGCGGAGCCGCCAAAGCCGCTGAGCGCCGGGGCGGGCGGGAACAGCTCGGCGGCATGCGTTAGCTTGGCCAGCTGGTCGGAGGTGAGCAGCTGGGGCTTCTCGAACGCGCTCGTATTGGATTTGGTTAGCTGATAGAAGGCGGTGTCGCTGTGCGTTATGTTCACAATGCTGCCCGTCAGCGGCAGCGTCTGGAGCAGCTCCTGTGGACTGCTGAAGGCGCCAATATTAACCGGCGCAATGCCCGTCAGCACCTGGCCCGAAACGTTTGTCTGTATCGGCAGCGGTATGTTGCCCAGATCGATGTGGCTCTGATTGGTGTGCGCATCGTAGAAGGTCAGATCCACGCGTTCTTGGCTCTCGAAATCGGTTTCATTGTCGCCCACTTCGGTGAGTATGCCAATCTCATAGACCACTGCCTTGACCACATACCTGGAGAGAAGCGTAAAGAGTAGAGGTTCAGGTAAGTCAAAAAAGTCTTGATTTAAGTAACACCTAAAATACTTATATAGAGCTATATATGAAGGTAGAAACTGGTTTGAGTTAAGAATTAAGTTTTATGTTCAAGACATTTAAAGTAACGAAGAAAAAGTCTTTGTTGAAGTAAAAAATACTTAAATCAAGATTTCGCATGCTAGAATTAAGCATTAAACGTGCTTGAATTAAGAATTTTATTGTTGGGCTTAGAAATGTCAATAAGGATAGGAATAAAAGTTTTGGATTAAAGTAAAAAATACTTAAAATAAGAAAAGTCAAGCTTAAATTAAGTGCAAGCGTTCTTCAAATAAGAATTTCAGTTAAAAAATGTAACTTTCGCTGAATATGAACTGTCTTGAAAGTTTCTCTCTCGCATACTTACAGATTCTTGGGCGTATCATTGAGACTGGCTTGGAGCTCCTCTATCGTGGCATTGTCCAGGCCGGAGCTGGCGTCCAGCACGGGCAGCGTGCAGCCAAAGGCCAGTAGCATGCCCAGCACGGCGGCGCCCAGAATTGCATGTTGTGTCTGCATCTCAGTTGAACTTAGCTTTGAGATTTTTCGGCTTGGCGGCAAATGAAAATTGCGCTCCTCCTGTTCTATGGCTGCCTTCTAAGAAAACGCTTTGCTGCTGCTGCTGTTGCTGCTCTGATCCCTAGCCTGATGTTCGCAAGTTTGAGCCTAATTAGTGCAGATCATCGGCTTTTATAGGCAACGCCATTGCTGCGGCCAGGTGCGAGACGCGATTCCGCGTAATTATTGACACATGTTAATTGGCCGACAGGTTTTCGGCTTGGCCGTTGCCTGTTGTCTGCCACTGTTCCGGCGGACCCCTCTCCGCGCTTCTCGCTGTCTCTGGGTACGTGCTCAGGGCACGGGGCCATCCATTGTTTTTGTTATTTCTGGGCTGCAGGCTCTAATTAATTGTGCTCGTTTCGTATCAGTACGGCGGCCGTCTACGCAAATCTCGGCTTGGTGTAAAATCGCACGCCTGCGAGCTGGGGCAATTGAATTGCCGAGTCAATCGTTGTTATGTTGTTTACCCGGCTGCTGGCCCAAAAATAGGTTCATAAACATTGCGCTCCTGGCTGACGCACTCGCCGACCGCTGCGCTGGACACGCGCCCGCCGCCGTCGTCTGGGCTAACTGAGCTGCCACATTACGCATTCGCCCCGTATGACGTTTGTTTATTGTAAAAAGCTGTGAAAAAAACCCAAACAATTGCAGTTTGCAAATCGCATTCAGCATATTTGTGTATTATATCTTAGCCAGTGCTGGCAAATGCAACTTTATTGCATGCATAAATTAATTATACGCAGCGTGCGCCGTGCTTTTGTTTGTTATATAAAAATCACGCATACGCAGCGTGCGTCACAGCTAAAATATAAAATCGCATAAAATGCTTGTTTCTCGTTTAATTTTCACAAAGTTTTATGTTACATTATAAACAAAAGCTTTTTGGATCCTTACATATTATAAAATTATTCGCTCTGGTTTCTATATGAAATTCTTATAAAGTTTTATATATATTTACAAGCTGCAATTTGTTGTTTCTCGAAAATTTCATATTCACATAGTGACTATAAGGAATTATGCAAAAATTACTCATACGCAGCGTGCGTCAATGATAAAATATGAAAACATTTCATTTTTATATTTGTGTTGATTTAATTTTCTAAAGTTTCGTATTGATTTGCATGTCTGAAGCATTTCTAATTCCCATAATTGTTGCTAAGTTTTTATTTTGGTTTCAGCGCAAAAGCTTTAATTGAATTATATTCAGACATTTTATGCAACTTATAAATAATAATAAATTTTATTCAAACAAAGCGCGGAAGCTATAATTGGCTTTAAAGTTGGCATTTAAATAAAATATATAATAATATTATATTATTATAAAATATGATGAGTAGAGAACTGCGACTGCATCCGGCATCGCCTATTTTTTGGGGGAAAACAGGCATCAACTGCTTTGAGCTGCTTTTTAGCCACAAATAACTAGAACAATCTCGACTTTTCATTTATTGATTAGCAGCTGCGGGTGGCTGGAAAGTCTTAAGTTCAGTCTTTGTTTTATTTTTTTTGTGAAAAGTAATTGAAAGCTTTATGGAAAATTTTATGGATCAATTCGCACATTTGCTGCCAGCTAAATTTAATTGACAAAGTGGGCCCCCGTTCAGCTTCAACAATAATTATCACAGCACTAAAAAATTATATTTTCTAACATTTCAAATATGCAGAATTACTAAGCCACGGAAGCTCTCCAATTCTGGCCCACTTCGTAATAAATTGTACTTAACATTTTTAAGGATTTGTATTCGCAGAGTTCAGAGACAGCAAAGCTCAGCCCAATTATTTAGCTTTTTAGCAGCCAATTAATTGAGGGCCACACGAAGCCCAAAGCTCGGCCCGAAAAGTGAAAATTGTTACAAATTTGATTGTCGACGGTTAAACAACATATAAGAGGCTGTTTATGACTTGAAAAAAATTAGTCAGCAAAATTTCACCTGCTCCTGCTGCAAATAAATGCCCGTAAACAAAATCATATATATTTTTTTGAATAATATTTCTTGGAAACACCTTTGAGCAAATAACAAAAAAATATTAAAACAAAAAAAAGAAGCGTGTATATAGCGAACTGATGTTAATTCAATTAATATGCTTAGTAGGAATCAAAACAAGAAACAGACCCAGGCCGAGCACACGGGGCGGAGCCATTCCTTCGGCTCATGCACCCAAGTTGAATAATCAATCCTTGAGCCAACAGCGAATTCTACGAATGCACAGAGATTTGTGTCTAGCCGAAGGTTGTATCTATTACCATTAATAAACTCAAATCAAAAAGAATATCAAGAAAATATTAAATTAATTTAAAAAATTGATATAGAGCAAAAAAGAGCAATTAAAGGAGAATTCGCGGGTCTTCGTATGGAAACGCACGCGCAAACCAGTTGAGAAAAAAAAATGAAATAAATTGATCGAGCTCGAAGTGTGCTAACTGAAAGCTTAGCTGAAACGTTTTTTTTTTTTTTTTTAGGCGCCCGGCGTTAACTTTAAAAAGTCGCACACCTCTCGTCAGCGAACTTATTATCAATCTGGACTTTGTGGTGAAAACAACTCGGAAATTAAATCAGCAACAGCAAAAAAAAAACAACAACGACAATCATGAAGTGCGCTTTAATATTCACTGTGAGTAGCAGCTCCATCAGAGCCCAGCTCATGCTCATCCCATCTCTCTCCGTCTCGCTCTCTCCCTTTAGCTACTGGCCGCGGCGACTTGCTCTAGTTGGGCCGCACCCTTTGACCTAAACGACCTGTTTCTTGGCCTGCCCAGGAACGCGCGTGTGGAGCAGCAGCCGGCACAGGATGTGTTCAAGCGTCAGGTTGTGGCCAATCCCGATGGCGAGCTGAAGCAGGTCTCGTTCAATGCGCTAATTGGCAATCTGGAGAACAGTTTGTTTCAATCGGCCTTGAGCTTGAACGGCGCCAGCGCGCCCGACTCCGAGGTGACCGAGGTGAAGCCTGACGAGGACAATGTGGAGCACAGCGTGAACAAGCGCTCGGATGAGCCTCTGGCCGCCGCAGAGACCATTGTCTTGCCTGCCGATGGGCAGGAGCGCAAGATTCTGGTGCAGACCACAAAGAAGGTGCCGCTCAGCGATGAGGGCGTGCCCGCCCATCTGATCATCGACCATGTCTCGGTGCTGCCGCAAGCTGGTCCCTCGGTGCCGCTGATACCCACCTTCCAGGTGCATCGCACCAAGATCACATCGGCCACCATCACCGAGGACGCCAACAACGATCCCAGCGACGGCAAACAGACCAAGATCAGCATCACCAAGACTTCGATCACCTCAACGGCGCCCGTGGAGAGTCTCGAGGCGCAGGGCAACAGCACCAATGCGGAGTCGGCGGGCGCCAGCACCACGGAGAAGGTGATCACCACCAACAGCGAGGAGAGCAAGGGCAGCAGCACCACCACCACCATTACGAGCACCAGCACCAGCACCACCGCCGAGAACCCCATCCTCAAGCTGAAGGAGGTCGAGGAGAAGCTCAAGGCCAAGGTGGCCGAGGTGGAGGCTAACCCTGTCATCCTGACCGCCCGTGTCTGAATTGGGAGACGTCTCTAGTCTTAGCCAAGTCACATCGCTCTCCCTGCCCTCCCCACACACACACAAACACATATATACATACATATTTATATTACGCCAAGTTCAATTAAAGTCATGTGATTTGATCTGAAGCTCAAACAGCCGACGGCGTCTCTTTATTCAAATTCGAAAAATACACACACAATAAATCGCACGCTCAGCTCTGCCCAATGCGAGGCTCTAATTGCTGGCGCACACATCCGACCCACCTTTGGATTAGCATCCACTCCGGCTCCGACTCGCTCGACCATAACAAATTTTCCCATTCGTGAAAGGAAATGCCAATCGATTCGAGTTTGCTTCTCCGTTTCGCCATTGTCAGCTCTCGGTCAGAGATTCACTTGATTGTTGTCTGGGGTCAATAGAAAAGTGTTCAGTTTCCGATAGAATTGAATTGGGTTACTCAAATATTGCCCAACTTTGTTGGCGTGTGTACTTTTGCAAATCTCGACTCATGCGCATTTGGTTAAGCTCAAAAAAAAGTGTTAATTAGTTGAGATTCGGCAATCTGAAGCGTTATTCAAAATGTAATCAAACAAAATGTGAGTAATGCTTCGAAAATCTATCGAGTAAAGAGAAAATGGCCAACGTTTACTCAATTAGTTTTAAAGTCACAGCCAAACTGTTTCGTAATAAAAATACCATACTTTAAGCCAAATATATATTCAACTCTTGTTTGTGTATTGCATAACAATTTCTCTTTAATAACTTTTCTTTTAAAATAATTTATAATTTAGATTGACATCTGTTTGTAATAGTTGATATTTCTTTCTTCTTTTTTCGATCTTTCTCGATTTCTGTTTTTGATCTATTTAATTCTTCTCCCCTCTTTTTCGGTCGCACTCACTCGATCACTATCTATTTCTCTCTTTGTTTCTCTATTTCTCCACAATCTATCTTTCTGTGTTCCTTTTCTCTCTCTCTATTTCTCTGTCTCTTGTAAAATTATCGCTCTCGCCATTTCTCAATTTCTTCTATTCTCCCATTGTCTTCTATTCTCTCAATCTTTAATAATCTCTTAGCCAATCGTTGTCTCTCTCTCTCTCATTCTCTCTCTGTCTCTCCCTCTCTCTCTCACATTCTCAATCTCATTCTCTTCCTTTGTCTTACACGTTCTCAAATTCTTCCCCTCTGATTACTGTTTTAATTATCTCTCACTGACTTGCTTCTCGATCTTTCTCTCTCTTATTAGTCCAGATTGATTCGAGCACTCTCTTTGCTCGTTCTCTTCCTCTCCCACCTTGCCTTATTGGCTTTCTATGCGATTCCCATGATTTTATGTAAGCCGTAGTAATATTGATGTTTATAAGACATTTTGTCTTAAAAACTTATTCAAATTTGAAGGAACAATCTATCAAAAACGAATCGAAACTCTGTCGAGCCCAAGTAAATAATATTCTTCAGCTTTCAACTTATCTATTACAGCAAGGTAGGTACTTCGGTTGACACTTATTTTGACGACCATTTATAATAATAAATAAATAAATAATAATAATAGTTGCACAACTTCTTGTGTCTAATCTGTGTACAAATTCCTTTCAAGTATTTGTCTTGCTCAATTTCCCATTTGATATTTATATAAATGTCGCCTCTCTTCATTACAGCTCTGTAAATATTTCTCCCCCACCTCGGTTTGGGTTTTATCAAGAAGCACCTGATACCCTCCTCACGTATCTGCGCACATTGCACTGGGATTCACTCGGGTGCACTGAGTCATCTATGTGGATCTGAATATGGCCCTCCGCCCGCCCCACTTCCCTTTGAGGCCACGCACATCAATCAAAACACGATCGCGGAATTGATAAACAGACGGGCACGAGCACAAACACGGCTCGTCGGGCCGAGCGGAAGGAGGGGCTGTAGGGGCGGGCGGCCCACATGACCAGAAGCGCAGACATTAAGTATACGCAGCGTGTTGCAAAAATTTAGACAGACGCATCGAAAACAAATTGTTGTTCTATTTACAGTTAGTCGAGCAGGCAATTCAGTAGTTAAAATTAGCACAAATTGTTATAAATATTGCGTTTAGTATTTGCACATTAATTTAATTTCAAACGAGTATAAGCCAAAATACATATTAAAAGGTGTCAGATAAGGCGTTTGTTGGCCTATTGATAACGCGGCATATGTGAATACATATTCAATTTGTAATGCGAGTACTCAAAATATTTGCTCGCTGACTGAGCTTGAGCTGCCCCTGGCCTAGTCACTTGCTGCCCATTGAATACACAGAGAGAAAAACTTCGCACTAAATTAGAGCTACTTTGTATTTGATTCGTTAATGAAAGTTGTTGAGATTTAAGCTTAAAGTTCTGGAATCATGTCAAGTCTAATTTGTACTTTATTTCAGTCAAGTTCTAAGTGGTCTTAAAATAGATCTAAAACCTTTGATTCGCTAAGGAAAAGTATTTAAGATTTAAGCTTAAAGTTCTTGAAACAAGTTTTATTTATTTTTAATTTCAGATAAGTTCAAAATAGTCTTTCAATAGGTATAAAAATGCTTTAAGCAAGTAAATTAGGGAAAAATACTTATATCAAGCTTAAGAAAATCAAGAAAAATCGTACTGAATTTAAGTTTATATTTACTTAAAACTAGCAAGTGGAGGCAAGAGCTGGCATAACAAAGAAGAAAAGGTCAATACGTTGAGAGAGTTTGCAGACGATTCAAACTTAATTCTATCAAAAAAAAAAACTCAATTCAATTATGTTTGTACTTAAAGTCACACTTGAAAGCAGAAATTTTGCACTTAAATCGAGTGAACCGTTATTCAATTTACAAATCCATCAACTTTTTCTCTCTGTGTAGCTTTTGTTGTTGTTTAACTTTTGATAGCAATTGTTACCCTTAAATTTTCATTAGGTTTATCTTATCGGAATGCCAAAAAACAGAATAAAAAAAAGAATAGAAAAAAACTACAAATGAGCCGAGAGCCAAGAGCCCATTGTCGATGGCCATTCAATGGCGGATGCGTTGCCCGGCTCCAAAACAACGACAGTTCGCTCTCAGTCCAAGAAAAGCAGCCGGCGTATGCGCTACGCTTTTCCACCTGTCCAAGTGCAAAACCACACAGAATTCGAACGGTGAGCGAGATAACAACAACAACAACAAATAAAAAACAGTTGTTAATATTCGTTATGTTCGTGCCATGCGTATCGGCCGAGTCTATGTCTATGTCTCTATATAAAAGTACAAGCAAGTGCGCGACAGTGTAATTTCATTCAAGTGCACTCATTGAGTGACTCACCTGTGCTTGTGATAACAATTATTTATTGATAATAATTTCAATTTGAATTGAATACTCAATTCCTCCTAAATATATACCAAATTGACGAAGAACTCATTAACTTGATTAGATACACAAATTTGGCAAAGCTCTTTTCTAATTTCTAATTGAATTTACAGCCAAAAGGTATTGCGTGCGTGGTCTTATCGAGTCGTTGTAGTGGCCAGTCAATTGGCATTTAACCCAACTTGAAAACTAACCAAATTAAAAATAAGTAAAACCTGAAAACATGGCCGGTGTCAGCGTGGGATTTGCCAAGTGTTTTATGCTCTTTATGGCCGTTGTCATATTGGTAAGTCCAACTATTTATAACAGATCCCATCCAAGTCCAGATACAGCCTGAGCTCTGCTCAATTTCATGGCCCAAATCATAAAACAAACATTAGTCAGTCAAGTCATATCAGAGAGAAAGATATTACTAATTCCTTTGTCAAATCGTTTTTATTATTTCCACGAATTTTTCCACATTTTGTTCTATTACTAATTTATAGAAAATTATTGTATGCTATTTAATTTCATGATTTTTTTCTTATCTAAATGATAGATTTGTTGTAGAACACAAAAATTTTCCAAGCAATTACCGAACCACGATTACTTTTAGATTAATGCAATATAAGAATGTCTCTTTAGAGAAATGCATTTTCATATCGTAACTTAATGTTTTGATGTTTCAGCGAATTTAGAATTTCCGCCCGCAAAGGTGGAAGTTTGACTATAATTTCATTTTTTTCTTTCTTTCTCAAAATTCTTTTGTTGTTTCACACTTTTCGGAAAATCCACCTTCCTAAGTGGAAATGGAGCAGTAAGCCCATATGAGCTGCCTTTCAATTTTGGTCCAATTCGCTTAAACATAATTTTTAAAGCTCCGCATAGAAAATAGAATAGATTAAATATAATTGAAAGCATGGTTCGGCGATTTTATGAAATCCACCCGCAAGGGCCGGAAAATTGGCGGAAAACTGTTATATGAAACTTTTAAGTTGTTAACCGATCCGGCTTGAAGCTATTAAGTTTAGAGTCAGTTTGGAAACAAGTAGCAATTAAATAAAATTGTTTATTAATATAAGTTTTGAGATTCTTATTCGCTAATTTGACATTAATTTCGTTTCAGGTACAAGGACTCGTTTACCTGGCACTCGCAATATGGGGCATAACATTGCGGGACTGTCAGACAACATCGGATATTGCCAACGAACCCTTCAAGTTTGCCATGGACCTGATATACTTTGTGCGTAAGTACCAGCCGCTGCCTAATCCCAGCAAGAATCGTAATTCAAATATATCCTACAGAGGAGGAATGCGAAAATCCGGCTATCGATTTTCAGGGCTCTACCTTCGAGCTGACCATGGACTGGTCCAAGTCCTATGAGGTGACGCATCGCGAATTCATATTCATGGTCACCTATGCCGTGGTCAGCGGCTTGTGGGTGGCCTCCTCAGTGCTCATCATACGTGAGTCCTACATCAGATATAGCTATAGATATATATTAATATATATTTCCTTTTGCCGTAGTCACCCTGTGCTGTGCCACCACCAAACTGATCTCTGGTGCCATCTACTGGCCCTGGTTCCTGTCCGTGCTGGCTGGCTGCATTCTGGACGTGGTGGCCACTGTCTACCATGCCCTGGACATAACCAAAACTTTGGTAAGTTTAAGTAAATTCCACCTGCCTTTTGGAGATTCTATATAAAGTGTTATTTCCGTTGCAGTCCCTGGAAGATACATTCGATTTTGTGGGCGTCACGTCGGATGATCTGACCAGTCAACTGTTGGCAGCTTTGGAAACCTTTGGCGTCTACTTTTCAACGCCCGCCATATTGCTGACCTGCATTAGTTGCCGCGTGGTGCTCATCTGGCTGCTGAACCTGATCGGCGGCATCTTCTGTCTGTCGCTGTCGAATGTGCTGGCCAACCAGACGGCCGCGAAGGCTAGCAATAAGGAGTCGGCCAGGCGCCAGCAGACGCCTCCACCTGTGGTGCCGGTGGAGCATGAGGTGCAGCAGCCAACGGCGCCAGCGGCAATAACACCGCAGTCCGAGCTGGAGCCACAGTATCCGGAGCAGATACGCCCCAAGCCGTTGCCCATATTCATACCAGCGCAAACGTCAGACATGTTGGAGCGACAGGATTCCCGCTATCAGCCCAACGATCGCAGCTCGCTGCAGTCGCCGGTCCTGGTGTTGCCTCCACCTCAACAACAACAGCAGCTGCAGCATCAGCAGTCGCAGGTGCTGCAGTCACCGCCAGCTCAGCCGGAGATCAACACGTATCGCAACACAAATGCCCATCCCGATCAGCTCAACTATCCGCCCTCGGAGCCCGCAACGCCACGCCCACTGTCGCCAGCAGCGCAACAGCTGGCCACGGGCTCAGCTCTAAATAGTCGCTATTCGGAAATATATCCAGCACAGCCGTCCAATCCACGCGTCAGCGAGGAGCTGCGCAACCAGATGCCCTGGTCGTACACGAGCGTGATCAACAAGCCGCTGCCGCCGCCACGCAAGCCCCAGGTGCAGATCTATCCACAGATACCCGAACCGGATTATGCGGAGCAATAGCTGGTCGGGGCACGGCGCTGATTGCGGGTTAATCAGCCTGGTTGCGATACATTCTTTGCCACTTGTTTTGAGTTATTGTTATCTTTATTACATTCATAAAGCTAATGCACATGGCCAACAGCTTGACTTTCGCTTGCATCCTGTTCATGACTGGGCATCTGCTGCTGCAGAAGCTGCTGCTTGTGCTGCACATGCGTCGCCACAAGCTGCAGCACTTCGGCTGCGCTTAGCTCCATTTTTTCAGCGCCGCTTGCATGCAGCTCCAGCTGAGGCGCCTCCTGCTGAGCTGCCTTGGCGCCCACCACAATGGTCAGCGGATGGCCGAGGCGTTTGGCATCCAGCAAACGCTTGCCTATGGTCAGCTCCTTGCGCTCATCGTGCAGCAGCTGCTCGGCGCCACAGATTTGTGTAAGCTGCTGAAGTAGCTCGTTTTCTATGCGCTCCGCTGGCGCCTGCTCCTTGCTGCCTTGCTTGGGTCCAATCAGACAGACATCGTAGGGTGCCAGCAGCTTGGGCCAGCGCAGTTCCTGTTCCGTGGAGAGCACCTCCAGTGCTGCAGCAATGACGCGCGTTATGCCAATGCCATAGCAGCCCATCTGGAGCGTTTCTGGTTTGCCCGACTTGTTTAGAAAAGTAGCGCCCAATGGCTTGGAGTACTTGTCGCCCAGCAGAAAGGTGTGTGCCACCTCCACGCCGCGCACACGACTCAGCTGCGTGCTCTGGCAGCTGGGACACTTGCTGGCGGTTTCTGCATCGCTGCCTAAGACTTCAGCATTTCCAGCATAGCCGCAAGCGCTGCAATTGAGCAGCGTATCCTCGCCGACTGGAGAAATATAATGATATTCATGCGACAAGCTGCCGCCCATAATGCCCGTGGCAGCCTCAACTGTGGAAGAATTAGCGATATTAACAGACAGACTTAGTGGGCTAACAGCGCACCTTTGACAAACGGCACCTCCAGCTGCCTGAAGAAGCGTTCGTAGGCATCGCTGACTGTTGCATAAGTGCGCTCCGCTGCCTCCTTGGTTACATCAAATGTGTACATGTCCTTCATGAGGAATTCCTTGGCGCGCATCAGGCCAAAACGCGACTTCAGCTCATCCCGAAACTTGGGACCAATCTGATACAGACGCAAAGGCAGCTGGCGATATGAAATGGGCGCTGCTGTGGCCAGCATGGCCGTAACCGCTTCCTCATGAGTCTGTTGGCATGGAAAGGTTAGTTATATTAATCTACGGAAATATCCTACTCACTGGACTCATGAGGAACTGTTTGCCGCTGCGATCGCGCACCATATAGAACTCGGATATGTCTCCCTCCAGCCGGCCCGTCTTCTTCCAGAGTTGTGCCGGCGTTAGGACGGGCAGGCTTATCTTTTGGCCGCCCGCGTCTTGCATATTGCGCTGCACCAGGCTAATGCATTTGTCTACGACGCGCTGGGCGATGGGCATAATCTGGTAGGTGCCATTGCTGCCCGACTTGATTAGGCCAAGTTCTGTTAAAAGCTGGAGATCAAAGGAAATTCAAAATCGGATTGCTGCTTTCGTAACATAGTTCACTTTAACCTTTTGACTGCGTGACAGTTGCTCCGTTTGCTTGACAACGGCATTTTTTGGTGTAATTAAAACGGGCCAAAAGAGACGCGAGGCTTTATTCATGTTTTGGGCGCATTTAAAGAACTTATCAAATAAATAATAAAAGTTACATATATAGCCGGCAATAGAAGAAGAAGACTATGCAAAACAGCTGTTGATGAATATCGATTGCAACGCAAATATATCGATATGTGGTGTACTATAGCCAGTGTGACCGTTTGCTGCCAGATTGTCGACTTAATATTCGCAGCGCCGGTATTTTGTTTATTGTGTACGTTTTGCGACATTTAACCAACATGCGCAATAATTATAAGGAACTGTACAAAAAGAGCGTAGACCTGGGCGAGCAGCAAAAGCTGCGCCAACAGCAGCTGCTATATGAACAAAAGCAGCGACGCCAACAGCAGCAAGATGTGCACCGGCCCATGCCAGACTCTGACGAAGGCGACGATGAGGAAGCGCCGGAGAATCCGGAAGGGCAAAGTAATACGCAGCGGAAACAGGGCAGGCAGCGCAATCGCGCCAGCAGCAGCAGCAACAGCCGCAAGACTCCACATTTGCGACTGCAGCAGTCGGAGTGGCTGCGTCATCGTCCCGAGAACTTATGCGATTGGCTGTTGTTGCCCTGCCCGGTGGGCAAGCGCTGCCTGGTCATCGCCAGCAATGGACGCACCAAGGTGTACAACAAGGCGGGTCGCATGACCATGCAGCTGCGCACGCTGCTGCCGGGCGATGGTTACGTGCAGAAGTTTAAAACCGTGCTCGACTGCGTGTATGTGCCGCAACTGGAAACTTTCTATGTATTGGATGCGCTCTCGTTTGGCCAGCAGCAGCTGCTCGACTGCGATGCCAATTTTCGATTCTTTTGGCTGCGCTCACGGTTCGATGAACGTGGCGAGCTGAGCCAGTGCAGCAAACGCAACGAGAAACCGTTCAAGCTGCTGGAATACTACGACTTTGAGGATGCGAACGCTGTGGAGCAAGCGCTGCAACGCTATCCGCAGTGGGAGGACAACAAGCCGGAGCTGGACGGTCTGCTCTTCTATCACAAGGAGGCGAGCTACACGTGCGGCACCACGCCGCTCGTCTGCTGGCTGTTTGCCTATATGCTGCCCGATGTGCTCAACCTGCCGGTGCACAGCGGCTACGAGGCGCCGGAGGATTATCTGCCTAGTGCTGCGCTGGACTTCATGGATGATTTTGACAAGAAACTGTTGGAGCAGCGACAACAGCACAAGAAAGCGGGTAAAGCAGCCACCGAGGAGCCAGCCAAAGAGCCAGCTGCTGCTGCTGCTGGCTCTGCTGCCATGGAGCAGGAGCCGGACGATGAGCTTGAGGAATTTGCTGAGCTGCGCAGCTTGTTGGATCGCGAGCGACGTCTGGAGCTGGGCGAACTGGATATGGATTGCAGCCCGGCATCATCAGCTGTCGGCGGCAGCTGTTGAGCCTCGTCCGCCTTTCGCTTTCGCTTTTTGGGTGGGGGTATGAGCTCTGGTGGTGGCTCTACGACGCATGCGCACTGCAGACCCTGGCTGCCTGGCCAGAACGCAGCCCAGATAAAAAACCCAGCAGCTCGAAGGCAGTTCAAATTTATGAAAAGCTTTAAAATATTAACACAAAAAAAACGAAACAAAACAAATTGAACAATTATGGTCATACAGCGCAGCTGGAAGATTCTAAGCGACGCGGCGAGCACAGCGCACAACAGCGGCGGCAGCGATGCACAGCAACGTTCGCCTGGAGCACTGCAGGCCAATTCGTCGTCAGATGACTCGGACTGCTCCAATCAGACCACGCACTCCATGGACACACGCGCAGCTAGTCCCATGAAACAAACGGAAAGGGAAACGGAGCCGACGACGGAGAACGGAACGGAAAATGCACGGGTGCGTAGCAGAGTTTGGACTTAACATGTGTCCATTAAGTTACGTTTGTGTTGAGTTGGCAGAAAATATATTCCTTGCAAACGGCAACTATTTAACTCCTTCCCTTTATTTGTATACCCTGTGAAGTGCATAGAAGGGGCATCTCCGTCTGCCTTTTTCTGTGTCTCCGTTTAAAGCTATCTTCGTGAAACTTACCTGCTTATCCTTATCCCTTACTCGACAGAAATATGTAACCACATCGGAAATGGCGGAGACCATGCTACAGCGCATCCGTCAACGTTACAATGGCGTCCACAACATGGAGAGCGGCGGCAGTGCCGAGTCGGCGATGCGAGCTCTGGAGCTGTTGCGCATCAGCGTGCAGCAGGCTTTCGATGCGGAGGTCAATGACATTATCAAGCGTTATATGAACGTAAGTAGTTGCAGCACATTCCATTTGTAAACCCATCAATAAGCTTTGTTTTTGCAACTCGTGCAGAACTACTTCAAGCCCGCCTTTGGCAACATCAAAGAGAATCTAGGACAGCATGCGGTGAACGAGGAAACGCTGCAGAAGATGTCCTCCTGTGCGCTGCTAGAGAATGCCAAGGCGCAGTATACGAATTTTGTGTTGCGACAACAACGACCCATCGGAGCGGCAACAACAACAGTTGTTACGGAGCAGCAGCGTCTGGCCTTGAAGCGGCCCGCCAAGCCGCTCGACTACAACACCAGCAAAATGTTTACCAACAGCATGTGCTATGCTGTGGCCGCGGGCAAGCCCATGCCCTGTGCTGCAAATCTACAGCAGCAGCAGCAACAATTGCGGCTGCAGCAGCATCAGCAGCAGCATCAGCAGCAGCAACAACTGCAACAACAACATCTCCAGCAACAACAACCACATCAGCAGCAGCCGCATTTGTTGCAATTGCAGCGCACACCGCTTATAAGCGGTCCTTTGCCCACGCCCGTGCGTCGTCAGATCTTCTGGAACACTGCACAAATCTCGACCAGCACCAAATTTGTGCTGGACGTGCAGGCGAATCTGGCCTTTGGCTTCAGCATTGACGGCAAGGAGCTTGGCGGAGCACGTTTGGCCAGCAAACATCCGGAGATAATACGTTATCTGCCCGACGCCGAGGATCGTGAGTGGCTAGCGGCACGCGGCATTATACCCGCCGAGAGTCGCAGCTCGCGCTTCTTGTTTCTCATCTACGACGAAGTCTGTAGGCTGCAGCAAACCCACGAGCTATACCGGCACAAGACCAACATTGATCTCAGTATGATGCTCACCTTTAATGTGACCGAGACCATGATACAGAAAATGAAGCTCTTCTTTGTGGACTTGAACATCAAGAGTCGCGGCCTGATCACCAACTCGTTTATAATGACCACCAATCAGCAGCAGCAGCTGCAGCAGCTCCACCAGCAACAGCAGCTCCAGCTGCAGCAGCAACAGGCGCAGCAGCAGCAGCAGTTGATTAGCAACAACAACAGCCATTTGCGCAATGCCCTGCTCCAGGGCGTGCCCGCCCAGCCACAACAAACGCCAACGCCCGTAGTGGAGGATGCCGCCGCCGCCGCCTCGAAGGAGCTGCCTGCCACAGTCGCCACGCCCTGTTTACAGGGCACCGTCGTGGGCAGCAGCACCACAAATCCTCTCAAAGCCAAGCTCCTGGCCAGCAGCTCGGCGCTCAGCTCATCGCATGCCACGCTCACCGCGCTGCTTAACCAGGGTGGAGTTGCCACCGGCTCGGTGCCAGCAGGCAGCAAATTTCGCAACTAATCGCGTCTCAGTTGCAAGTATATCAATACTCGTAAAAAATAACATTTAAGTAGTTTGCGTTCAAGGGTTTACTTTGGTTGTTGTGCCAACTATTTTCGTCACGCTATCATATCGCATTAATTGAAACCATCGAAAACAATCCATTGGGGCTTAAATGTTGTATTTAGCTATTAAAAAAAGGCAGCTATAGCTAATAAATGTACAGAATAAATGTCTGCCAATTTTATTGAATACTCAAAATGAATAAAGTTGTACTTAATTTAATTATTATGGCTTAAGTGAAAGCCACACCTAATGCTATGAATCGTTAGCTTGTTATAGATATTTGCCTTACAAGTATTTGCTTAAGTGCTTAACAATAATACGTGACATTATTATACTATGTAATCAAAGCAGCTCTTGGCTGTAAACAATTGCGAGCGCCTCTCTTTGCGCTTCTCATCAAATCGATTAAGGCTCTGTACGCATACTTGATTTGTGCGCATTAAATTAATTTTAATGGCATTTGAGTTCCGAGCGGCCAAGTTAAGCACAGAACCGATATGCTCCTTAATTTTATTGTAGCGTGCGGTGCTCTATGCGTTGTCTAGCGCATGCTTCATTGGGGCATTTCTCCATATCTCGAGTGTTCTTGTCGTGCAACTGCTGTCTATATAAGCATCTATCTGTATGTATATCTATCTGTATATACATATATATAATATGTATATGTAATGTGTATATATTTTGGTGTATATGCAAAGAGCGCAACGCATCGCATTATAGCTGGCGATTCATGCAGCTTCCATAGGCAACGCTCCCCTCTTTCTGTTGCCCGCTCCGTGCTCCTCCTGCTGATGGTTTCGCTGTGATCGCTGGCTGATGGCGTGTCTGTGGAAAACCACTATACGGCTCACATTCTGCCCGGCGTACGTCTTGAACGTGAACGTGGACGTGGACGGGCCGATCGTTTTAATTTTGTTTTTGATCGCGCATTTACAGTTCTTTCTAAAAAACAATAAAAATCAGGCATCGGCGTGGAAATGTGCTACATATTCCGAAATGAACGTCTCGGGTTCGTCTCTTCGTGTTCATGGTGTGCGTGTGTGTGTGTGTGCCTGTGGCAAGTTCAGAGACAGTCGATCTGAATAATTTTGCGCTATATTTTGGAAAACGCAGCCGCATTTCTTTGTAGTAGCCACGAATACTCCGAGGTGATCGGTTCGTAAAATCTCTCAGTTTCAGATCAATTAATTTATACAAACAGCAGCAACATGAGCAACGTGAACATCGTGGTAAGTCTCAATAGGACTACGTTAATATCTGTCAAGTGATATTAAATAGTATGTTCCAAACAGGATGAGGATCTGACACCTGAGCAAATTGCCGTGCTCCAGAAGGCGTTCAACAGCTTCGATCATCAAAAGACGGGCAGCATACCCACCGAAATGGTTGCCGATATTCTGCGTTTGATGGGTAAGATCAGCCATACCCTAGCATACCCTGTAATCATATATATTTATCTCATTTAGGTCAGCCCTTCGACAAGAAGATCTTGGAGGAACTGATCGAAGAGGTTGACGAAGACAGTAAGTACACCAAAACAATTCATAATATAATATATCAGTATTATAGCGCCCCAATTCATTATCAGCTATAGTACTATATATATATGGGCTTTAAACAAGCTGCTGCAATTTCGTGGTCATATTTCATACCGAAAGTGTCATAAATTTATTAACAATTTGCCGTATATCATATGGAATTATTCGAACACTTCCAGCTACTTGACAATTTACTAAAAATATATGCATACTATATATATATTCGATTTCTTTTATAGAGTCTGGCCGCTTGGAATTCGGCGAGTTCGTGCAGCTGGCTGCCAAGTTCATCGTGGAGGAGGATGCCGAGGCCATGCAGAAGGAGCTGCGCGAGGCGTTCCGCTTGTATGACAAACAGGGCAACGGCTTCATTCCCACCACCTGTCTGAAGGAGATCCTCAAGGAGCTCGACGATCAGCTGACCGAACAGGAATTGGACATCATGATCGAGGAAATCGATAGCGATGGTTCCGGTACAGTTGACTTCGATGGTGAGTACAAGAAATATGCTATAGATACATGCATATGTGTGCCTGTATCTTTTGGAATCGTTTCTAGTCGCTTGCGAAAAGCGCCCACGTAAACACACACACGCACACACACACGCACACACACACACACACACACACACACACACACACATCCATACATACACCCCATTTACACCCACAGTACTTTTTTTTTTTGTAAACATCAGCTAGATGCTTGGATGACAACGCGTTTCTGTTGATCTTGAGTTCTCGATTATGACAGCCCGTTTCTGATCGTTTTGGAGCATATCGAGGCTATTTTTAGGCGCGCGACACAAAAACTATATACAAAAAAAAAAAAAAACATAGTTGTGTGGAATATATTTGTTTTCGTGGCATACATTTTAAAAATTAATATATTTATTTATAAAGTCGTTTCTGTTTCTGGCTGTCGGTTTAATAATGTCTGTCATTTTGTTTAATTTACAGAATTCATGGAGATGATGACCGGCGAGTAAATAAGCCCAGACCCAAGAGCCGCACACACAGACACACAGATACACACAGATACACACTGACACACACACACACAGACACTTACACACACACAGACACTTACACACACTTGCACCCACCTGTTGGGCACACGTTTCTTTGTTTAAATTTGTACATTTGTTTCATTTCGTAAACAAATCCACGTATTTCAATTGAAAAACATCCACAAATTAATAGCATTAAACTTTTGTACTACTTTTTTATACCAAAAAAAAAAAAACCAAAATAAATACAAAAAGCTGTGTATGCAAAAAGTAAAAAAAAAAAAAAAAAAAAACCAACCAAAACAAATAGAATTTTGTAAAGTTTTTATTTTTATGGTTATGCTATGCTGTCAATGCCAACCGCACAGTTGGCTGATAAACTGGCGGCTATCAGTGAAGAGCGCGCACCTGAAGAAAGCTGACGAAAATAAAGTACAACAACAACAAAACGAAAACGAAAAAAAATAAAAAAAAAAAAAAAAGCTCGTCAAGTTTTTAACTACGCTAACATTACATACAAAGCGCTTGGCGCGCTCAACGCTTGACGCTGACGTTGGCCTCGACGCTGACGTCGCTGCCGCTGCCGCTGCCTGCTGCCTGCTGCCGCTGCCTGCCATTGACCAATTCGCGCGCTGCTGTGGCCCGCTCGACTTGGCGGCGTTTTTCTTGGGGCCACCGCCGCGCAGTCGGTTCAGTTGCTTGGCTGTGGCTTTTGTGTGCGCTTGCCGTTAGCTGCCAGTGTTGAGCTACGCCCGCCCGATCGCAGCAAATGTGCCGACGCCGCCGCCGCCGCCCCCACACTGAACAAATTTTGCATATTTGAAAAATAAAAAAAAACGCTCGTGTCTCGTGATAGTCGTGAAGTGTTTGCAATTGATAATAATATTAATTATAATAATAATAATAGTCAAATATTAACTAAAATGCCGCAGAGGTAAATGCAAACAGCTTTGCGGGCACCGTTATTTGTACACACATACATATGCATACATGTACATACATATGCACATGCATTTGTATATGGCATAACAATAAAAGCCGTGTTTGTTTTGGCATTATGGTAGCTTAAGAATGTGTTAAAGCAGACGCCGCCGCCGCGACTTTTCGTGTCCATAAAATTTATGGCCGCATAAATACCTAAATAGATTCTGATATTTTATTTTCGCTTGACATTGGCTTATCAAATGGAAAACAAAAAGTAGCACGATAAAAAAAAAAGAAACGAAACTGTTTGGATTTAAAAAAAAAACGTTATGCGCGTGTTGTGTCTGATTGTGTGTGTGTGTGTGTGCGCGCCTCAGCATTGCTTGATAAGCACTTTTGTAATTTTAACCGAAAAGCCAATGCCAGCAAAGTGCTGACACGCGCGCTGTGGGAACCCCGATTTCCATGCAGTTCAAGCGAAACGGGTAGATTCACTTGCAACCAAAAACCCAAGCCCGGGCGCTATCGTCAACAGCTGCTCCGATGAGTCATTCGGCGGAATAACAGCAATAACAATACAACAATAACAATCACAACAACAACGACAACGAGCATTATGGCAATTAGCACTTCACATTGAATCAAATCGAAATCAAATACAAATCTATGATAAGGCAAACGCAATTTAGTAGTGTTTGTTGTTATTTGTGCAAACGTATCGAAAATTGGTTAAAAAAATAACAATGTGCCGTTTGTATGCTTTTATTAATTTGCAGCCCGACAACAAATTGGTCATTCCAGCCGCTTCATCGACAGCGCAGCGGGCAATTTCAGCACCATGTGCTCAACTCGGTGCCGGAGACGGCTGTGCTGACCACACCCCCGCCTCTACGCAAACGTAAGTACTAACAGCACTAAAGCGACGGTTTGAATTTTACGCGCGCAATTTGAGCATTCGCATGACGACGCATTTTCACTATCGTAGGCCTGCGATGAATCGATAGCAAGCATTGCATAGAATTATCAAGAAGCCAGGGCTGCAATCGTGCAAATGTTTATTAAAACTAGCTTAATTTATGTTATTAACTATCATTTAACAAGCCGCTAAAATAATGTTGCTTATAAATGAAGAAGCCTATGCATGTGTTAATTTACAAACAAAAACAAACAAACATTTTAAATGTAAGCTCTGCTAGAGATGACACACGATGACACAAACGTATCGTGTATCGCCCAAAAAGATGCGTTCGTTTTTGTTTGTTCATTCATGAACAGCAGCAGTTGTTAAATACTATATGTGTATATATGTATATATATATACACACAACACAACATATCCGATAACATTACAGCGCTTTCATTGCAATTTGCTGGCGTCGCTGCTACTAACGGGGGTGCTGCAGCATTAGCTGACAAAACCAAACGGAGATACATAACAGCGCGCAAGAAGGCCAAAAGCACTATGAAAATGCTTGTCGTTGACACCGAGCGAGAGGAGGCTCTAAATTTGGTATGTGTGCGTAATTAAAAATCCATGACAGCGGCCCAAACGGCCAAAATGCATTGCAATTAATCAAACGTGCGAACTGTGTACGTGTGTGTCGGTGTGTGTGTGTGTGTGTGTGTGGTATAGCTAATTGATTATTGATTGTCTGTGTTTTTTTCTATCTCACCCAAAAAAAAAAAATGCTCGTGCGAACTCGCCGATATTATTGATTTGTACATGAAACGTGCCGTTGTTCTTTGTGTTTTCCTTTTTGGGGTAACGACGGCGACGGCGCTGGCGCTATCGCAAAACGCACACTCACACCCACCCGCATTACACACACGCCCCCTCATACTCACACACACACACACTCACACTCACACACTTAAATACATTCTTGCAGCAAATTGAATTCGAGTGGGTGCTGAGACAGGAAGTACATGCGATATTAAAACAATTGCGAACTATTCTTGTGGTAAGCAGAGAATGTCCTTATTTGCGTTAAAATTACTCAATCAACCCCTCGCCCCCGTTGGCATCATCCTGCAGGAATGCGCCCATAGGTTTCCCGTGCCGCTGTACGATAACGAGGGCAAGAAGACTGAAAAGTTTATACTCAGCGTTTCGCCCGATCAGCTGAAGGCGGTGCTTACCCTGACGGGCGATGCGATAACACAGGCGGTAAGCATTATTAATCAGGCAGGAAAATTGGAAAATTGAAAAACTCTAAAATGTCGGACTCTTATCGCACACAGGATATTAGCTTTAAGCTGTGCAAGGCGCCCAGCCAAACGCAACGTACCTCAATAACGCACGACTCGCCGTGGAAACTGCAGCAAGTCCAGGATGCCGCCAATCATCTACAAACAGCAATCAATCACATTGACGACGTTGATGACTCTTATCACTTCAAGTGAGTCTGTTTATTGTTTTTCGCAGTTGTGCTTAAGTGACTATGTGTTTATTTATAAATCGCGCTGATTATGCAGAACCTCCGATGAAGTGCTCCATGTGATAGGCAACATTCTGGATGCGCTGCAGCGTGGACGCAATAGCCTGCTGGTGCCGAAGAAGAAGCCAATTGAGGAGCTAATCAAGGGACGCAATATGAAATCACTTGTGCCTAACCTGCCTGAGGATTTGGCCGTTAGCTTCTATCTGCAAAGCCACAAGCTCATCATTGCCGTCTATCAGCTGTTAAACAACCAGGGCACAATGCAGTTCGACTCGCGTCAAGCGGAAATCGGCGTACAATGGCTCAACGATGTGCTCCTGCTTCTGATGAATGGCCAGAAACTGTGTCAGCAGCTGAAAGACAAGGTAAACGAATGGACGTACTTGAACTGATAAGCCAAATGCTGTTTGCTTTAATTGGAACACATATCTAGATCAGTTCCAATTTGGGCTGCCAATCGTATATGCCAAGTTTAATTTGGTTATTGGCAATTTGCCCACATCATTATGCAGTTCTTGACTGTGACGCAAGTTGCCAATTAAACTGACCAATATACAAATTATACTATATACGTAGTTTCTGAACTAATTCTAATATTGCTCTTGCTCTATTTGTGATTTGTAGATATCCGTGTTTTCAGTGTACAAGGATTTCACAGTTGGTTCGCGCTCGCCGTCAGCACTTTCGTACTGAAAAGGATAAAGAATATATGTATGTGTCTGTTATTTGGCAAAACAAAACAATAACAACAATAATAGCTGATAAAGAAAATGTACTTGTAATAGTTAAAGTAAATAATGTTAGTTAAAGAGTTGCGCTTTGTGACCGCATAACGTAATACCTACTATATACACATATACATATATATATATATATATATACAGAGTTATATACACCTAACTAGTTTAATATACACAATCAACATTCAAATTGTTCATTGCGCGACAATTTATAAGTATAGAATTTGTTTTCATTGCTTCATGTCACTCCAATTATGCATCTAAATGCAATAGAATGAAAATTTACTGTGTTTTGTATATGTAACTAAATGAAATTGCTAGATAATTATTAATGAATATTTATAGTTAGTGCGGCTAATGTGCGTACATTAATATTATAATGATATAGATATAGAGATATAGATATATCTATATATATTTATGTTAACAAATGCAAAAGAAGTGTTGCAAGTCAGTTAGTACTTAACAGATTGATATATATATAACATGCATACATACATTATTAACCTTACGATTTAACTGAACATGAACATTAATATTTACAGAATAATGTTGTAATAAACCAAACCGAAATGTGAACAGAATTTTTAATTATACTAAACACCATTTTGTATTCCATGTATGTATGTGTTGTGTAATAATTAAGTGCGCCTAATCTAATCCAAAGTCATTTGTATCAACGGCCTTTTACTTCTCGTTTACTTTATATTTATATAAATGATGAGGGATGCAACGAAAACAATTACCAATGTACTTATTGAATATTGTAACTATGCCTGTGTAATTAACATGATTCGTATGGAAATTTAAAGAAGATGAAACTATTTATGTAATCTCTAAGCCTATTTAATGTCCATATTCATTTAATTGTTGTTGAATAAAAATTGAATTTTACCAACTTGGCGCATAATAAATTTAAATTTGCGCGCACTTTTGTTACGATTAATAAAATTACTCGCGATCACCGATCGACTCTGTGCTGCTGCCTATCGATAACTTCAGTTTAACAGGTGGCAACGCCACCAGTTCGCCTTAGCCCGTTTGTGCTCAAGCCATCAAACAGTTATAAAGCGGCAAGCAAAGCAAACCGTTTGCAACAGCGGAAAAAATACGTGTTTTTGTGGTAAGTTCAGGACGTTATTGACGGTTATTCGCGAATTGTTAATGCAACGGTGCACAGTTCAAATGCAGTTTAAGTGGCCAACAGCCCAATGTCCAAACGGACAGCTTAAACGGCAGTCGACGTGCTCAACCATTTGATGCATGCATGTTGTAATAGACGCGGAAACCAGTTCGCATTTATTATTTTGATGCTAGTTCGGCTTTTCGGTTGTTTTTGCTGCTGATGTGTGGTAATCGCGGCTAGCCCAGCGTCAAGTCCGAGGCAGTTGCTCTCGGTTGCTGTTGTGATTCGTGTGTCTTTTGCCTCTGCCGCTGCCTCTGCCGCTGCCGCTGCTGCTGCTGCTGGGCAAAAGGTGTTGAATAATGTGACCATGGCCAAGTAACACAGAAAGAGGAAGTCCAAAGAAAAGCACAAACAAAACTTTGAAAGTGGCAACAATTTCAATGCTATTATTATTGCGAAAATAACGTATTTAAAAATGCTTAAAGAGCTACTCAGAAGTTCAGCTTTTATAATGCCAAGTATATCGAACCGGTTCGAAACGGAATTACTATGAACCGAACCGTAAATCTAACTTATTGTCCAGAGACAACCCAAAACTCGCATCAAGCCATATAATTTTCAGTTAGTTGCCAGTTAGTTCCAGCATTGTATAATTATTTTATAATTACATAATTAGAAAATGTATGTCAAAACAAGTTTTGAACCAAAGCCTAGCTTCAAGAATGTGTCAAACCAGGTTCACGAACTAAAGACAAAGGCACGGAGCTAGTTCGTACCATGAATCGAACCAGCGATAGTTTGCTTTGCGGTTAGAAGCCATTTTGAATAAAAGCCTGTGGCTCGATTCCTGTTCCTGTTCTGGTTCTGGTTCTGGTTCACTTGGACAACTTAACGGCTACTGCTTACGCTTTCAAATTTAATTTTAGCAGTTATTAGTAAATTACGATAGATCTCTAGTATAGTTAGTTAATTATAATTAGTTATGTATGTAGAAATTTGTAGCTCTGATCTGGTTATTGTTGAGCTTTGTCTTTATTATCATAACAGAGCCGCACGTAAGCCATGCGCTATAAAAACGCCAAGTCATTCGAAACAGCTTTGGTGACCCCCGACGAAGGTCTCGCTGCGAGCCATGGCTAGCTACTTTGGCTAAGAGGCTGCATGTGGAGGCTTCTCTGGTAATTGAAGCAGAGTGTTTATTTTTTATGAGGCTCGCTTGACCAACTTGCGCATCAGTTGTTGCGTTTTTTATGACCAGTGCACTTTGTTGTGTCTGAAACCATTTTTCTTGTTTGTTTCTTTGCAGCAATTTGAAAGAGTTCAGTTTCGAGACATTAGACGCAATGGGCAGCAGCGAGGGCGAAGTAGTGCTCGTAACGGGCGGCAGCGGCTTTCTGGGTCAGCATCTAATCAAGCTGTTGCTGGAGCAGCGCAAGGAGCTGGGCATCAAGGAGATACGCTCGCTGGACATTGTGCCGTACAGCAATAATATCGGACATCCGGAGACGCCGATGCTGCGCACCTTTGTGGCGGACATTGGCGGCGAACGTGAGACCCTAAATAAAATCTTTGACGGAGTCGATGGCGTCTTTCACTGCGCTGCATCGGTTCAAATCGAATATCCGCCCAACTACGATGAGCTGGAGCGTGTAAACATAAACGGTGGGTGCCCTCGCCCTACAATCAAATCATATTTATAATCACATATGTATATATGTATGTCGTGCTCATTTAGGCACCCGGGCTGTCGTGGATTTGTGCATACAGAACAATGTGAAGCGCTTGGTCTACAGCAGCTGCACCTCGGTGTGCTTTGTGCCCTTTAAGGGGCGCAGCACCTTCTCGGCGGTCATCAATTCCACAGAGTCCAAAACGGACACGCCCACGCTGGACAGCTCCAAGCTCTGGGAACAGGATGGCGAGTTCCTAATTGCGGGCTATGCATCCAGCAAACTGCGCGCCGAGAACATTGTGCTCAGCTCCAATGGAGCGCCGCTGCAGAATCAGCTGGGTAGGCCCGACTATGCTTTATGCTCTATTACATATATAATATATATATAATATACATTTGCAGACTATCTGGCGACCAGTGCTATACGGGCACCGCTTACCTATGGCGAATGTGATTCGCATTTTATTACTGACATCTTTGATTATTTGTCGCGACGCGATTGGATCTTTCCGAGAATTGCCGGCGTGGGCGGCAAGCAGCAGCTGGTCTATGCTGGCAACGTTGCCTGGGGTCACATCTGTGCCTACAAGGCGCTCAAGGTGTCCAGCAAGGCGGTTAATGGATTGCCTGTTTTCGTGACCGACGACACGGGCATTAACGATGTTTCGCGCTTTGTGCAAAAGATGGCGCTGCTGGGCGAACGTTTCAAGGTGAAGACCAGCTGGTGGTACATTCCACACTTTCTGTTCTTCTTCCTGGCCTTTCTGCTGGAGTTTGTGGTGCGTGTGGCCTATCCCTATACCAAATATCGCCTACGCTACTCACCACGCGCCATTGCATCGTTCACCTCCTCCATGCTCATGTACAATCGCCTGCGCGCCTCTATACACATGGACTATATGCCGCTATACGATCCGGACAGCAGCGCCGAGCGGAGCGCCAAATGGTATGCCAAGTGGTGGGATGACAAACAACTGGCCAAGAAGTCTAAAAAGTCGAGTTGAGCTCGATCTTTAAGCGTATTACTCTTTTGTACTGCATATTCTAGAGTTTTGTTATGTTTTATTTAGGTAAATTTCAATAAATTTGGGTGTTATCAATATATCTTCCAGGACTTTCCTGAATGTCCAAAGGAATTTATAGGTGTGTTTGTATAAGTTGACAGAGATTTTGTATAGTTCCCTCAGTTATATTCAATAAGTGTCAATCCAAGATATTCCGGCTATTTAAATATTTTGATATGTTTACGTGACTAAAGCTCGGGCAAAGCCGGGTAATAGATATTCCCTGAAAAAAAAAAAACCATCAGCCCGTATAGCCCAGAAAGAGAACACAAGTGCGGCGTTTTATGTTTTTGAACAATGTTCATATTTGTTTATTAATCATTATGAATTAATTTATTTATTTCTTCAGTTATTTCATTATAATTTGTATTATATATATATTTTTTTGTTGCTCTAGAGCGATTTCTTTTGCCATTGTTTTTTAAACTTATGTACCATTATCTTAAACTTATAATGCCATTATTTAAATTTTCCATTCGTTTTAAAATCATGTTTCATTATAGTTTATATTTATATATATATATATATATATATATATACGCATGCATATTTGATGTCCTTATGCTTATGCCGATTTTAACCAGCTCATTGGAATCCCTCCTCAGGCCTGCCACCGCCCTATAACATGCTCTACGTACTCATCAAACCGAAAAAAGTGATCTGATCTTTTGACATTATCAATTTTCAGTTAATGGGGGTGGGGAAGGGGGTGGAGGGGTAGGCTGTAAGTTGTAAATGTTCTCGCTAAACTTTTGAATACATATTTTCTTCTTGATATTCTCTGTGTGTGTGTGTGTGTGTGTGTGTGTGTGTGTGTGTGAGTGTGGGAGTGTGTGTGAGTGTTGAAAAGTTTTACAATTTTCTGTTGCTCGAGTGTGTTGAGTGTGTGAGTGTGTGTTGTTGTTGTGTGTGTGCAAAAGGGCAATTATTGCCATTTGTGAATGATCCTGTTTTTTTGAAGTGTTGTAAATGGCCGTATTTTCTCTGTGTGTGTGTGTGTGTGTTTTAATTATATTTCCAAGGGTTCTTATAAATAATTGAATTACTTTAACCATCGGCCTTGCGCCCCTGTCGTGTGTTTCATCATATGCTTAACATTATTGAATTTAACTATATGTTTATTTGTTGTTCTTGGTTATATAACTATTATATATATATATATAGTATATGACATACATATATATATATACATCTTTTTATATGTATATATGGGCATATTTGCGGTCGTATGAAGGCTTTCTCTTTGCCGTTTTGGTTTAATTTGTTTTTATACTTATATGCATATACATATATAATTTTTGTATTTCTTGTAGTAAATATACAAATTCGTTACCGGATTTCTTTATAGAAATGAAAAAATTGTTTTTCCTTTTATAATTGTTGTTGTATTTGGTTTTTGTATTCTTTTAAATTCTCGTTATGCTTTCTATTTATGTGTATGGCTTGCGCACGGTTTGTCCTAAACTTGTTCTTGTTATTATAATTTTTTACCTTGTATAGTTTGCTGTAAGTGTATGTTAGTACTGTACCAGTTGTCTCATAGCTATTACACTGTCTTGCACACACATATGTATATATATATATATACACACACATTGGCCTTCCTTCCGCCGAATCACTCGATGCCCAATGTGTCCTGCTGGGACTTAGTGCCTAGACTAATTTTTAAAGTATTCGCGCTCAAAGTGTGTGTGCTTGTGTGTGTGCGTGCCCGCCATTTTCTTATAGATGCCACACACAATACCCAAAGAGCATGTGTGTGTGTGTGTGTTTAATTGATTTTCCTTTCAACGCACGCGCCCACTTAATTACTTTTACTTACTTAGTAGAATACTTACAAACTGTACGCTTTATTATCGCTCTTTATATAAATGTATCTTCATTTTGTCTTGTTCTGTCTTCTGTTGAATTTGGGGGGGTTTTTTTTAATTTCTTTTTTCTCAATATTCCTTCGACTTGTATCGTGTATAAAGTATTAAAATGATTTCATTTTTGCTGGTTACGCATTTGTAAATACAATTTTAACTTCACTGCCGTCCTTTGTCATTATCTTTACCTTAAACATTTTTTCTTGTATTTCATATTTTTTTTTATATTTATTTTCTTGTATATATTAATATATAATTTTTTGTTTTTTTTTTTCTTTTTGGTTTTTTGTTTTTTTTTTTTTGTTTGTTTTTCATATAGTATAGTGTAAAATATATAAGAGATATTGTCAATATAGTAAAGGTGTTTTTGTCAGTAGGAGTACCAACTGCAAACTGACATATTCCTGGGGGGAATTTCTTACTTATAGCAAAAATAGTCAAGTGATCGTTCGTATGTAGGTTCTTTTGTATGCAATTCTTTACCAAGTATGTGCGTGTATGTGGGTGTGCGGGTGTGTAGGTGTGCGGGTGTGTATTGGTGTGTGTTGTGTGCTGTGGTGTATGTACATATGTTTGTCTATAAAAATAAACTGAAGATAGAAATGTCTGATGTACGTAAGTAATTGATTGCTACCATATAAAAGCATGTCAAAGTGTACAAGGCTCACATCGTGTTCAAGCGCAGCTCTTGCGCCTTTCTATGCGCTTCTCAACGCGGGCGCTTGCATGTGTGTATGTGTGTGTGTTCGTGTGTCTGTGTTGCATGGTAAAAAGAAACATCGTCGTTAGCGCTAGACATTAGTTAAACTGTATTTCATTATCGTAAACGTTAGCTCGTATTTTGTTGTCGTTTTACTCATACACATAATAAGAACTGATATGTTTATATAAGACAATATATAATAATAATAATAATAATAAGAGAGACAAAAGAACAGGAAAGTAAATCGTATATATAAGTAGCTACCAAACTTTGACTCTTTGATGTCTTTTCGTAATTGTTTCTTCTTCGACACTTTTAAAACTATTTTACATAAGTATTACTTGACGTCTTTGCGTGTTCTCATTTCCGGCGCGAACCACAAATTGACTTTCGACTCAAAAAACGGCATTTAGCTTAAAGTATTGTGTATTTATTTAAGTTTTTATTTTGTTTAAAAAATCTTTTACGGCATACTTATGTATTTTATTTATACACGTTTTCTTTCTACTTCCCTCGCACTCTCTTGCTCTCTATAGCTCTCTCTCTCTCTCTCTCTCTCTCTCTCTTTATATGTATATATAAAAAAGAGACACCTTTTGTTTTATTATGTTCAATTTAAAGCTTTTGCGCCTGCGCCGTCAAGTTTCTCTCTCTCGTATTTTTGTATTGACGACGCCTTCAGTAGAAAAATAATGAAAAATGTTTCGATTTTGGTTTTTATTCTTGTTATTCATTTTTGTTTTGTTTTAAAAAAATGTGCTTGTTGTCTTTCTTTATGTTGCTCATTGTGTTGTTGCTGTAACATTTTCTTCTTTTCTTTTCATTTTTTGTTTTTTGTGTTTTCTAATTGACTGAAATTGATTTTTGTTACAAGGACGCATTTCTTCTGGTTGTTGTTGTTGTTGTTGTTGCTTTTGTTGATCCGGTTTACCAATGTAGTTGTTGTTGTGCATGAAGTTGTCATTGAGTTTCGCTTTAACAATAGAGCACTACAAATAATATTTGTATAAAGCATGTTCTTCTACGCATAACGAACGTTAACAGGGAAAATGCTAGAAAAAATTCAACAGTACGCTTAAAGCTGTTTTGGTTTTTTGTTTTGTTTGGTTTTTTTGTCACTTCCTCTCGTACACAACATGTACATATCGTATCTCGTACTATATAATAACCGATCCGCAATCGCTTTCTACAAAGCGCCCAAAAACTTGGGCCGATTGCAAAAAGCGATTCGCATCAAAGTTGGTATTTTTTTTTTTCCATTTTTTACCATTTCTGGTTTTTGGTTTTGCGACTTACAACATAAAAAATTTACTAGCTGACTGTACTTTGGGCCAGCAAAGTTTAGCATATGTTTGTTTATTCAACTTTTGCTGCTTAGTTTTTCGCTTTTTTGTATTATTTCTAATTTACTTGGCATAGCTGCCTAGAAATGATTTTGAGAATTGTTTTATAGATCTTTGAGAGCTTTTTATCGCACTCTCCATGTCGATTAACGAGCGAGATTCTACATTGTGTGTGTGTGGTGTGTTTTCATTTTCTTTCTAGGACAGTCAAAAAATGTTTACAAGTAATTTACAATATGCATATATATATATATATTTGTTGTTGTTGCTGTTTGTGAGAGAGAGAAGCGTTAACTTCTCTTTCATTTCGTCCATGCAGCTCTTGCGCTTGCATTATTTAATCATATGTTAAATGTATATATATTTTTGTATATATATTTTAGTTGTATATATATTTATGTATATTTATATATTGGTGTATATTTAATGTAATTCATTTTTTTTTCTTCTTTTTTCATAATTTTATTTTTTTAATATTTTTTTTGTTGTTTTTTCTTGTCAAACTTGTTGTTTTGCTTCTGCTTGTTGTTCATGTTGTTGTTTTGAATTATTGCTTTTAGAACGTATCTTAAAAATATATCTATTCATATAATTATGTATATATAAGGGCGTGTGTGTGTGTGTGTGTGTATGCCTTATGCAAATATAACATGTTCTGCGCCTCAAGGATTTCCCAATTAAAATCCAAGCCCAGCGCCAGGATCTCAACTAACTTCGACTGTCGCTCTTGAGGAGCAGGCAGCTGGAATACGTGTACTTACAAATACGCAATTTACCTGTTTTTTGTTTTTGTTTTTGTTTTTTTTTTGGTATATTTATGCTTGTTTGTTTAGACTTAATTTTTAACAAATAGTTTAGTTAGCTTTAAAGTAACCATTGCCTTGACTCCCTTGCAGATGTATGCATGTATGTGCTTGACATACGTATGCATAAGTAAAATTTGTTTTTCTTGTTCTTCTTCTTGCAATCCTCAATGCACAATAATCTAGATACAGGATTGCCTCAAGCCGATTCGTATATATATATAGATATATATATTTTATATGAAATTTAGCAGCTTACTTTCGCCTATCTAAAAGTGTTTGTCTTTTAGCTTAAAGTTTTCTTTTACCTTATTTTCTGTTTCTTTGATTATTTATATAGGTATATATATATATATATATATAAATGTATATAATTTTGGTTTGTTAATTATGCGTTTACTTTAATCCTTGCGTCGTGCACCATGAATCAAAGTGTTTGAAATGTTTGCGAACTGATGTAAACAAAGTCGCCAAGTTGCACAAAATGCCTTTTAAGCAATTTGTGCTAACAATTTATCCTTGGCCAACTCGTTGTTCATTTAAATAGCTTTTTATGCTCTCTTGCGCATTTGTTGTCAACATTATAAACGCAATAATTTATAATACACTGCAACTATTTGTCGTTAATTGTAATTTGTATAGCTATGTTTTGTATGTTATGCATATCTCGTATTTGTTGTCAACATTATCTTCATCTTTTCTATATAAGTTTTTGGGTTTCTTTTTTTGGTCCGAGACTTGACGGGCAAAGTCCTGGAGAGCGTTGGTTTGACAATTTGGCAAAAAAGTTATGAAAGGAACATTTTCACTGCTGATGTATTATTTTGTTTCTATTTCAGCTGTCTTTTCTTTTGTTTATTACACTTTTAGTTTGGTTTGTTCAGTTGTGTGTGGGTGAGTGTGTGTGTGTGTGTGTGTGTGTATGAGTGTGTGTTTGTTGCCTAATGCATAAATCTCAGACAGACCAAAAACGTATCTTCATTTTGTTCTGTCAATTAAAGAACAATACATGTTTTCATATTAATTGTTGTTGGTTTTTGTTTCGCACTTGCTGTAACAAATGTGGCTTACTTAATTGTCAGATAGTTTTCATTTTGTTTTGTTCCAATAATTGAATACTCCATATAGTTGTATATAAATATATTTTTCTATTACGCTTCTCGAATTGCATTATCGCCGTACCGATAGTCCTCTCGTCCTGTTGTCCTGTCGTCCTGTCGTCCTGTCGTCCTGTCGTGGCACGCGGCGGCGCGACTAGAAAATTTAATTGCACATAACGTGGCCTGCTTTTCACATGCTTGTCCTTAAACAACTCAACATATTTACTTGCTTTTTACCCATTCTCTTCTGGCTTTTCTCTCTCTTGTCTTGCTTTTCTTTCCTTCTTTCCTTCTTTACTTGTTATACATACGTGTTTACATACATATTTTAGTTAATTGTTTAAACATTTGCAATTCAGCGTTTGTCTTTTTTTGTTTTTATAAATATTTTATTTACTTAAATATAATTATATGTTGCATGTATAATAGTTCATTGTTATATTTGCATATGCGCTTAGATTGTAATTTGTTTAAGTTTTTCTTTTGATTCATCAGTTGTATGTGTGTGTGTGTGTGTGTGTGTGTGTGTGTGTATGAGTTTGTCAAAATTGTTTCTTACATATCTTATGCATATATATATATATATATAGAGATTTGTTGCTGCCTTTTGCAAATAAATTGATTTATGCCTCGAGTTATGCGAAATTCACTCTCTCAATTTAGCATTCATCGACTTAATGAATGCTTTAACATATTTGTCTAACTAACCATATCCATTGTTTAATTAGCATATTTAATGCATTTGCTTTTCAATGTGAACACAAAAGAGTTGCATTTAGAAATAATACACAGAATTTTCAACACATTTAACAAATTTGGTTGAGCTACTTCATCAGCTCATTCAATACAGATTTTCATCTGTTTCTTTTTTTTGGTTTTTTTTTTGCTTTTCTTCTCATTTTCCTCGTTTTCTTTTTACATAAGTTTACGCTTTGCTTTTTGGCCAATAAACGATTCTTGTACTTTAAACTAAATTCATAATTATAAATTGCATCTAATTGTTAGCACAATTTTGCTTTTTGATTAACCATCGAGAACAAAAAAAAAAAAAAAATTAATAATAATTATAATAAACAATTATACTTTGTATTTATATAAGCTGCCCCGTTGGGAATATATGTATGTATATATATTTTCTCAGGCTGTGTTCGCGAAAAGCCCAACTTTATAACATTTGCAAACTTTATAATTTTCTATTAAACAAATCAATTGCAAGTTGTTTGTTGTTGTTTTATTTGCATTTTCATTTTCATTTTACTTTTGATTTGTGTACTTAGTTTGTATATATTGCAGTTTTCTTTATATATGTACGCGCGTGTGTGTGTGTGTGTATAATATATAATTAATATATATATATATATATATATATGTATATCGACTTTAACTTTAAAAGTTACAACTTATTTAAGAATAGTAATAATAATGATAATAATCATTTTTTACTTGTAATAATACGCAATTAAATAATAACATTTTTCGCTATTATTGCAACATTTTTCGTTTGCTTTTCAACTTTGTGTTTAATTTTATTTAATCATTACTCCTCACTTTTTTTTCGTATTAATTTATTTATATATTATTTTTGTGTATTTATATTTTTTGCTTTTTGGTTTCTCATTAGTTAAAAATGGTGACGCGGCCTCCGCTGGCGCATCCTCCAGGCTGGCCTTGTGGGTGTGACTGTGTGTGTGTGCAAAGGCCACGCCCACATGCCGCCTACTGCTGCCGCCTACTGCTGCTGCTGCTGCTGCACTTGACGCAGTTTCGTTTAATTTGCATTTTAAACGATTTTTGCTGCAAACGTTGCATCTTTTTGGGCGCTGCGGCTGCCGTGTTTGGTTATTTGATTATTTGGTAATATTCTTGTTGTTGTTGTAGTTATTGTTGTTATTGTTGTTCTTCTTGTTCTTGTTGTCATTAAATTAAAGTTAATTTTTTTTTGCTGCGCTTATAGTTCTTTTTTTTTGCTATAAATTTATATGCATGCAAGTGTGCATATATATATATGTATATGTATGTACGTACATGCATGTATGCATGCAGTACATATACGTTAATTAATTAATTATCATGTATGTGTGTGTGTGTGGGGATGTGTGTGTGTGTGTGTTTCTGGTTTATCGGGCTTATTGCTGTGTTTTGCTTGGCTCTGCTTAACAGATTTCATTTGCTTTGTGGAAATATATATTAACATACACAAGCATGTAAATATATTATATACACACATATATCTGTGTGTGTGTGCGTGTGTAAGTATACATTATATATACTTTAATTTATATATATGTATATATATATATATTTATTCTTTTAGTTATATTTGTTGCTGCGCTGTGTGTGGTTGCAGTTACTTTTCGTGTCTGTTGTCAATTGTTGTTGCTTTAGTTGTTGTGTTTGTTTTATTTGTTGTTGTTCTTGTAGCTGCTGTTGCTGTTGTTGTTGCTGTTGCTGTTGTTGTTGTTGTTGTTGTTGTTGTTGTTGTTGTCATTGCGGTTGTCGGCGCCACCTTTTTAATGGTATCCATTTGTAAATGCCGCAGGAATTAGTGGTCCCTGTAAATAAACGTTTCGTATGGCACAAAACAAATACACACACAAAAATTATTCAAATTAAATACATTCTCGAGAGCATCTAAATGCACACAGAGACATTTATGGTAATATACATATATATATAATATATAAAGTGAAAAGTATTCAGATAGAAAAACTATTTAATTTGATATTGATTTGAAAATGTTCAATTTTGTTTCCAACTATTAATGTTTGCCTTGTGGCTGAGATTTGATAAACACGTTGAGCGGAAGAAATAATTTGAATATGCAATCAAAATAGATTATATTATTTTCTACAAATTAGCTGCGTGTTTTTTTTTTCTTGATTAAATCATATTAAAAATGCAGCGCTTAAATAAACGAAATAGTATTAAGTTAAATGGACGCCAGTTCTTTATCAAAACTCGCCACAGGCTGCAATAATAAATGTGTGTGTGTGTGTGTGTGTGTGTGTGTATGATTTATGTATATGTGTGTGTGTAGTGGCAGCGCTTAAATTTAATATTTATATAATAGACATGTATATTGTTGAATTGTAAATAAATCATAATTGTTTTAATTGAAACGGCCTAGAAAACTGTGCTTGTGACGTGCATACATAATTTGTACTTGATTTAGATTTGGTTTTAGACTAGATTTTGTAATTGTTTTAATGTTTATTAAAAGATATATATATATAAATATTTTGATAAAATTGGATTGATTAATAATTGAAATTGTTATTGGAAAAAAACACGCTGTAGTTTTGTTGGTGTGCCTACCTTGTGCAACTGCGTTTGTTATATACTCTTATTACTTTTTACTTTTGTTTTGTTTTCTTTACTTATTTTTGTTCTTTTTGCTTTTCGTTTATTTATATATGTATATATGTATATATATATATATTTCGATTTACATATATATAATTGTATATACTTCTTGCATTTGTTTGTATTCTTGTTTTATATTTTGGGTTATCAGTCTTTTTATATATTAGCCATCGCAAAGTTCAACGAATAAATCTGTACGAAATGAAAGAGAAATACATAGTACAATATATATATAGAAGGTCAACGCAATAACTATGTAACTATATTATTTATTTTATTAAATATAACTTCTTGTTTATTTTTATTTTTTTTTTGGATTTGTTTAGTTTAATAATTTGTAACACTACATTTGCCTGCCAAGCTGTGTGCACAGAGCGCATTCAAGCAATGCTCAGTAACGGACCAGAACTGGGCCTAGATAACGCGCAGCGCCCCCAAAGTTAACACTACTTTCAGGGCCCGGCGGGGCCAGACCGGAGTGGCTCCACATACTTACCGGGCTGTAGTTCAATGGGGCACGGCTGACGGCTATGGGAAAGCCGGATGGCTGCGGACTGGTAGCCTGTACATAGCCCACATTATCGGCCCCGGCCGAGCTGTACATGTCAATGGTTGGTCCGGGCGAATTGGTAGAAGGAAAGCCCTGCCGTGTGGCCGTGGTGGCAGCCGCTGCATGTGGCGAGGCCGACGGACCGAAGCTGTGTGCGGCTGCAGCAGCCGCCTGATAGTTGTTCATCACTGCAAAATCAGAGGAAACAAGAACGGTTATGTTAGGCATAAAATAAACCTATTCGGAATTTAGTTAAATAAACAATACAATTCTTAAGCCCATTGATGTCTAAGTGTGTAAGCCTGTCGATATCAAGCTGAAATCTATCCATAAATCATTTAATAAAAGAAATTCAGAGTAGCACTAGACACTGCAACCGGGTAGCAAGAGACCTCGCTGGGAGGTGTGTAGTCAGGAGGCTCAAGAGAACATCCTTCAAATACCTCCTTCAAACTAGACACAGGAGACGCCCCAGAGCCCCCCCACTGCCTATGTGACGATGCAGCCTTACTCAAAGAAGACGCCTTTAACGTTTGTCCACGATAAAGCCTGAGGAACCAACCAGGCTTGGCGAAATACCACCTAAGTTAACTGTGTTGTAATAAAAATGTATGCTATTTTTGATTCAATACAATAAATAAATAAAACACAAAAAAAATAACGAATAAAACTGTCACATAATTTGATCGATTTTAATGTCTTTGTCTATATCAGTAAGCCGGGAGGGGTACAGCCATAATTTCGCTGAAACGTTTCTTGAAAACGGCGGAGTTATATCGAATTGGATCAACATACAACCGCACGGAGGATATGACTTTTAAAAACGACAGGATTTTCCACGAATCTCCGCGCTGCAGAACGGCGGAGTGATGTCGCATTCTATCGTAGTCAACCTATTTTGATGATTTTATTGAATATCTCGGCCAAATAATGTCCGATTTTGGAATGGCATACCATTTCTGACTCGTAAGGATCAATACTATCGATTGGCATTCAAAAATTGAAAATCTAAATTTTGACCCAAATCGACCAAAACAGCAAGGGGTTACATCACGTTTTTTGTCAAAATCGGGGTCGGTTCGAAAATCAGAACTTTTTTGATAGTTTTTTTTGAATATCTCGGGTAAATATCGTCAGATTTTGGAATGTTATACCTTTTTCAATTCGTACGGATCCCTACTTTCAATTTGCATTCAAACAAATCAAAAATCGAAGGCTTAAAAAAAGTTGTTGAACAAAAATCGATACGTTTGTAAAGTCAACCTTTTTTGATGATTTTATTGAATATCTCGGCCAAATAATGTCCGATTTTGGAATGATATACCATTTCTGACTCGTAAGGATCAATACTATCGATTGGCATTCAAAAATTGAAAATCTAAATTTTGACCCAAATCGACCAAAACAGCAAGGGGTTACATCACGTTTTTTGTCAAAATCGGGGTCGGTTCGAAAATCAGAACTTTTTTGATAGTTTTTTTTGAATATCTCGGGTAAATATCGTCAGATTTTGGAATGTTGCATTCAAACAAATCAAAAATCGATAGCTTAAAAAAAGTTGTTGAACAAAAATCGATACGTTTGTAAAGTCAACCTTTTTTGATGATTTTATTGAATATCTCGGCCATATAATGTCCGATTTTTGAATGATATACCTTTTTTGACTCGTAAGAATCAATACTATCGATTGGCATTCAAAAATTGAAAATCTAAATTTTGACCCAAATCGACCAAAACAGCAAGGGGTTACATCACGTTTTTTGTCAAAATCGAGGTCGGTTCGAAAATCAAAACTTTTTTGATAGTTTTTTTTGAATATCTCGGGTAAATATCGTCAGATTTTAGAATGTTATACCTTTTTCAATTCGTACGAATCCCTACTTTCAATTTGCATTCAAACAAATCAAAAATCGAAGGCTTAAAAAAAGTTGTTGAACAAAAATCGATACGTTTGTAAAGTCAACCTTTTTTGATGATTTTATTGAATATCTCGGCCAAATAATGTCCGATTTTTGAATGATATACCTTTTTTGACTCGTAAGAATCAATACTATCGATTGGCATTCAAAAATTGAAAATCTAAATTTTGACCCAAATCGACCAAAACAGCAAGGGGTTACATCACGTTTTTTGTCAAAATCGGGGTCGGTTCGAAAATCAGAACTTTTTTGATAGTTTTTTTTGAATATCTCGGGTAAATATCGTCTGATTTTAGAATGTTATACCTTTTTCAATTTGTACGGGTCCCTACTTTCAATTTGCATTCAAACAAATCAAAAATCGATGGCTTAAAAAAAAGTTGTTGAACAAAAAAGTCAACCTTTTTTGATGATTTTATTGAATATCTCGGCCAAATAATGTCCGATTTTGGAATGGTATACCATTTTTGACTCGTAAGAATCAATACTATCGATTGGCATTCAAAAATTGAAAATCTAAATTTTGACCCAAATCGACCAAAACAGCAAGGGGTTACATCACGTTTTTTGTCAAAATCGAGGTCGGTTCGAAAATCAAAACTTTTTTGATAGTTTTTTTTGAATATCTCGGGTAAATATCGTAAGATTTTAGAATGTTATACCTTTTTCAATTCGTACGAATCCCTACTTTCAATTTGCATTCAAACAAATCAAAAATCGATGGCTTAAAAAAAGTTGTTGAACAAAAATCGATACGTTTGTAAAGTCAACCTTTTTTGATGATTTTATTGAATATCTCGGCCAAATAATGTCCGATTTTTGAATGATATACCTTTTTTGACTCGTAAGAATCAATACTATCGATTGGCATTCAAAAATTGAAAATCTAAATTTTGACCCAAATCGACCAAAACAGCAAGGGGTTACATCACGTTTTTTGTCAAAATCGAGGTCGGTTCGAAAATCAAAACTTTTTTGATAGTTTTTTTTAATATCTCGGGTAAATATCGTCAGATTTTAGAATGTTATACCTTTTTCAATTTGTACGGATCCCTACTTTCAATTTGCATTCAAACAAATCAAAAATCGAAGGCTTAAAAAAAGTTGTTGAACAAAAATCGATACGTTTGTAAAGTCAACCTTTTTTGATGATTTTATTGAATATCTCGGCCAAATAATGTCCGATTTTGGAATGATATACCATTTCTGACTCGTAAGGATCAATACTATCGATTGGCATTCAAAAATTGAAAATCTAAATTTTGACCCAAATCGACCAAAACAGCAAGGGGTTACATCACGTTTTTTGTCAAAATCGGGGTCGGTTCGAAAATCAGAACTTTTTTGATAGTTTTTTTTTTAAAAACTCGGGTAAATATCGTCTGATTTTAGAATGTTATACCTTTTTCAATTTGTACGGATCCCTACTTTCAATTTGCATTCAAACAAATCAAAAATCGAAGGCTTAAAAAAAGTTGTTGAACAAAAATCGATACGTTTGTAAAGTCAACCTTTTTTGATGATTTTATTGAATATCTCGGCCAAATAATGTCCGATTTTGGAATGATATACCATTTCTGACTCGTAAGGATCAATACTATCGATTGGCATTCAAAAATTGAAAATCTAAATTTTGACCAAAATCGACCAAAACAGCAAGGGGTTACATCACGTTTTTTGTCAAAATCGGGGTCGGTTCGAAAATCAGAAGTTTTTTGATAGTTTTTTTTGAATATCTCGGGTAAATATCGTCAGATTTTAGAATGTTATGCCTTTTTCAATTCGTACGGATCCCTACTTTCAATTTACATTCAAACAAATTAAAAATTGATGTCTTAAAAAAAGTTGTTGAACAAAAATCGATACGTTTGTCAAGTCAACCTTTTTTGATGATTTTATTGAATATCTCGGCCAAATAATGTCCGATTTTGGAATGGTTTACCATTTCTGACTCGTAAGGATCAATACTATCGGTTGGCAGTCAAAAATTGAAAATCTAAATTTTGACCCAAATCGACCAAAACAGTCAAATTCGGGGTCGGTTCGAAAATCAGAACTTTTTTGATAGTTTTTTTTGAATATCTCGGGTAAATATCGTCAGATTTTAGAATGTTATGCCTTTTTCAATTCGTACGGATCCCTACTTTCAATTTGCATTCAAACAAATCAAAAATCGATGGCTTAAAAAAAGTTGTTGAACAAAAATCGATACGTTTGTAAAGTCAACCTTTTTTGATGATTTTATTGAATATCTCGGCCAAATAATGTCCGATTTTGGAATGATATACCATTTCTGACTCGTAAGAATCAATACTATCGATTGGCATTCAAAAATTGAAAATCTAAATTTTGACCCAAATCGACCAAAACAGCAAGGGGTTACATCACGTTTTTTGTCAAAATCGGGGTCGGTTCGAAAATCAGAACCTTTTTGATAGTTTTTTTTTAATATCTCGGGTAAATATCGTCAGATTTTAGAATGTTATGCCTTTTTCAATTCGCACGGATCCCTACTTTCAATTTACATTCAAACAAATTAAAAATCGATGTCTTAAAAAAAGTTGTTGAACAAAAATCGATACGTTTGTCAAGTCAACCTTTTTTGATGATTTTATTGAATATCTCGGCCAAATAATGTCCGATTTTGGAATGGTTTACCATTTCTGACTCGTAAGGATCAATACTATCGGTTGGCAGTCAAAAATTGAAAATCTAAATTTTGACCCAAATCGACCAAAACAGTCAAATTCGGGGTCGGTTCGAAAATCAGAACTTTTTTGATAGTTTTTTTTGAATATCTCGGGTAAATATCGTCAGATTTTAGAATGTTATGCCTTTTTCAATTCGTACGGATCCCTACTTTCAATTTGCATTCAAACAAATCAAAAATCGATGGCTTAAAAAAAGTTGTTGAACAAAAATCGATACGTTTGTAAAGTCAACCTTTTTTGATGATTTTATTGAATATCTCGGCCAAATAATGTCCGATTTTGGAATGATATACCATTTCTGACTCGTAAGAATCAATACTATCGATTGGCATTCAAAAATTGAAAATCTAAATTTTGACCCAAATCGACCAAAACAGCAAGGGGTTACATCACGTTTTTTGTCAAAATCGGGGTCGGTTCGAAAATCAGAACCTTTTTGATAGTTTTTTTTTAATATCTCGGGTAAATATCGTCAGATTTTAGAATGTTATGCCTTTTTCAATTCGCACGGATCCCTACTTTCAATTTACATTCAAACAAATTAAAAATCGATGTCTTAAAAAAAGTTGTTGAACAAAAATCGATACGTTTGTCAAGTCAACCTTTTTTGATGATTTTATTGAATATCTCGGCCAAATAATGTCCGATTTTGGAATGGTTTACCATTTCTGACTCGTAAGGATCAATACTATCGATTGGCATTCAAAAATTGAAAATCTAAATTTTGACCGAAATCGACCAAAACAGTCAAATTCGGGGTCGGTTCGAAAATCAGAACTTTTTTGATAGTTTTTTTTGAATATCTCGGGTAAATATCGTCAGATTTTAGAATGTTATGCCTTTTTCAATTCGTACGGATCCCTACTTTCAATTTGCATTCAAACAAATCAATAATCGATGGCTTAAAAAAAGTTGTTGAACAAAAATCGATACGTTTGTAAAGTCAACCTTTT